TTTTGTTGAAAAAAACCATCAAAATTTGTTTTGGCTCTAAGATTTTGAGCCGTCATTTTTATGCACTATATTTCACAAGATAACTTACTAACTGTGTATAAAAATGCTTTCACTTGAAACGATGTTAAATCTTCTATAGTGAATATGTTTCACTGGTTTTGAAGCCTTAGAATAAGCTATGGATTTTATCTGTGGTAATCCAACTCCTTAAGTTCTTATCTCGATTTAGCTCTTACCACAGTGGCCATATTAGTTTCTTTACAACAACCTCTTTTGGTTTACGTTTACTTCAGAATGATTTAAGGATAAGTATATGCAAAGAATAATTCATTATCCGTAGTAACTTGTGAAGTAATGTTTTAGAAATATACCTTGTTTGATTTCCACATTAAAATAAGAATACATTACAATTAAGTTTCCTTATATACGAATATTCGTCAAGATTAAAACAAATAGTTTGACAGAAATTTTGGGCCTTGTATAGAGAAGTCATTATATGTGAAAATTATATTTGAAATAATCTGAGTGATTCAAATTTAAATAATTCCAACGTTTCGTCCAGCTAACTTGTCTAGACTTCCTCAGGGTAATAATCAAAATCAACCTTGAAGAAGTCCAGACAAGTCAGTTGGACGAAACGTTGGAATTATTTGAATTTGAATCACTGAGATTATTTCAAATATAATTTTCACATATAATAAGTTTATTTTATTTCATTATTATTATTAAGTAACAATAAAAGTTTAGTGCTTCATTCGGTTATTATACTTCAGTATTGAGATACAAGCTTTTTTTTAGAAAACAATTCACTTGATTTTACTGTCATATGATTTCAATTGAATCATCAATCAAAAGTCATATTGATTTCATGTGTAAAATTGTTTAATACTAATGATGGTAGACAGAAAATATCCAATCAAATCTTATGTTTCCATTTCATTGTACATAAAATTATACGAATAATATAGCCTACGGATTCTAACTTTAATTCATCCTTTATGAGCACATTATTAAGAATAAACGTGCAGTATTCTGGGAGTGGTCGAACACATACTTTGTACATCAAAATACGTGACACGTTGTTATATAAGTTTCGAATTATGCAACCGATAAGACGTTGTGACTTGGAGATCTGTTTCAATACCTGTACTTTAAACGATAAGTCGTAGGAGTATCTAAGTTCTAAGCCCACTACTATATGTAACTTAGATAACACCTCACCATTTAGGTAAAATCTAAGTCGATTCATGTATTACCGAAACCTATCCATCCACATTTAGCCGTGTTAAGCTCCAACTGCAATTTCGAGCACCAGATTGGGTACCACTGAAAACTAAGGAGAAGTATACAGTTGTTTTGTCTTATTATGGGACTCAATAGAAATGAGCACCCATGGCCAAAAATGTTCGTTATACGACTCAATCCGAAATTTTACCATTGTTTTCCGATTCAATGGTATTAATGGTCAGACGTTCGCCGTGAGACCCGAAGGGCTCGAACCCTTGTGTGGTTTTGAGTGCACCAATGATGGATCCCACACTCGGACCAAAAGACTGTTACTCTCTTTACTTCAATGTTTCTGTTTTTCTTTACTATGATGAATTCTCAACGTGTCACTTCCATGTCAAAATACAAGTGGAAATCAAGATGTATTGAAAAGAGAATTCAATTAGCTTGATATTTTATCTAATGATTCTGGTTTAATTCAATGATCATTAATAAAGAGTTTTTAAACCAATCAGAAATATGTATACTATGGTTTTTCATTTTGAATGATGTAAATATTTAGTAAAAAATCATCAACATTTCGAATGAATATTTGATAAGATAAAAAAATAGTAACCATGTGCAATGAAAAATAATATCCTTCACGTTTATAACTTATTACATGATACAATATTTTTGGAATCCCTACAATTTAATGCTTATTAAGAAATTATTTTTAATTTCAAGAATACTGCTTCTCTTTTGAATAGTATGAAATATGTTATATGGAAATAAAGTATAAAGTATACCTTTCCAGATTTACTAATGTACTTTATTAGTTGAATGACATTTCATTATTATATATTAATTGTAGTTGATAAACACGAATATAAGGTCTACATTTAATTTTTTTTTCTTTTCAATAGACTTAATCTTTTACCACAAAAAGTATTATTCAAATCCGATGTTACTAGTTGGCAACCAATCGATGTACCACAACAATTATAAAATCTTGAAAAGAAAAAGAAAACACAGACTAAAACAGAAAAAAAACAACAACGATGAAATCATTTTATTGTGATTATATTTCCATTTTCTTTGATCATATTCACTTTTATCATAACATGACTCTATCCATTCTTTTTTCATATAATCAATGATTGAAACTTGTTATCAATCTAGGTGATTATTATTTAAATACCAAAAAAAAAATTCAATATAATAAATGAACCGGTTAGTCGATACTAATTGTTTTGTTCTATGAATTGTAACCGAAATTAAACCTTTTGCTTTTTTTTTTGTTTTTGTTGTAATCAAAGTTTCCATGAATTTACTTTAGACGTGATTTCCTCTTTTTGTTTCCATTTGTATACAAAAAATGTCATTGATTTGTGTTGAATTTTCTAGTTACCCAGTGCACTCTTCCTATTATACTAATCTGTTAATTTGTATTGAGTTAACTTAACAATAATCAATTTATTTTTAGCAGTTGGCTTTCCGTCAATGATAAATATTTTTCAAGAAATAGAATAAACAAATGGGGCATTTATATGTTCTCACTTTATTACCGTATTTAAAAATTAGTCTGGTATGTTTTCTTCAAAATCTAAATGATTTGTGTGTATGCCAATCGTTTTTTTTAAACAAAGAGAAGTTAATCGACTTTGGCTTTTGCACAAAAAATATGCTGTTTTGTTAAAAATTTTGTTTTATATGCAAGAGGAATTCAGTGGTTAAAGTGTTCGATTTTTATCCTCAAAGTAGCAGATCTCTACTTCAAGCGTAAAGAACCGGGTAAGTATCACAAGCTTGCACATTCAAAGTCAAGTATACAAACCTATACATGACTGATTAGATAATAAAAGTATAAATAAAATAATATGATCTATTTTCGTGGATTCATCAAGTGACTAACGAATAGAATCATCGTCAGTGGCAATATAGAAATACACCGGCCTTAAGTGATGATTAAGATGACTGTTCGCAGAGCAATTCGCTTGACCAATATGATTAGGAAACTACTAATGGAGGATTTGTTGTTGATTATCTAAAGTATTATGAGAAATATTATTTGCTGCACTCACGGTGAATTTTTCGAAAGGAAGATCATTTGAAGTAGATGTAACAAAAAACAATATCTTTCAACGATATCTATATTGATGCCAAGTCAAATGAAACTATTGGTATTCCACTGGATTACAGGGAAATGAGTCACTAATGAAGCTATATATAGTTAACTGGTTACGATTAGCAAAAATTATCTAGTTGATCTTCAATCTGTAGTCTACAAAAAGCTTGGGTAATGTAAAGCAGACTAAGGTAGTATTACCAATGAGATAGAAGCATTCAGCATTTAATAATATCATATAGAGGAGTATTTGTATTATATGTGTATCGAATGTAAACTGGAAATAATTGCAATCTAAATAGATCCATCGATTTAATGGAACAAAAGTAGACCCAACAATATATGTATATATAAGAAACTGGAAAATTCAAAGCGGATGTTATGACCTAGACTTTTTAGCACAGACTATTTTCAGTCTCATTGCTAGACTAGAAAATATTACTACTGTAAAACTGTACTTTAAAAGTCATATCTATTTCAGGTTCCACACTGCTTACAACTGACTGATAATTTAAGGGTATATTATATAGTAGCTTTAAGATCTGAGTCTTCAGTTCGGTCATTTTATCGATTGTAAGTTCTCAATGAGTCCCACACTATTGTCCTGTGCAACAATACATGATATCAATTCAAAACTTTCAAAATCATTGATACAAAGTGATATTTAATTCAAACTCATTGCTTATCATTCACTCTTTTAAAAGAATATATATTCACTTGTATACAAAACCCTAATAGTAATAGAAGTTTCATTTAAATGAATATTATAAACACAGTCCTGCAAAATGAGAATAATAAGTTAGTGAAAACTAATAAAAACAAAAACAAACGAACAGAAAAATAAATCAGAAAATTTATTAAGTGAACAGAGCAAGGCAAAAGAGAGAGAAAATTAGTATTTATGACAATTAGATCGATATGATAATTGTTAATTGTACCATTAACAGTTATTTATAAGAATATACATTTATTATTCTGTATAGATTGATATCATTACTCTGTTCGTCATTGACACACATTCACAACATGAATATCGAGGCAAAAACAAGACAAGGTTTTAAGGATAAAGAACGCAATATATGTATATATATCAACAAGTAAAACAACTCGGCACATAAACCATACAAAAAGGAACAAAACAAGAAGCAAAAAATGATTAGTCAAAGCAAATATCATTTTTTTTATCATACTGTAATATGTAATTGGGAAAACAAGAGGGATATGAAAGAATGAACAGAAATACAGGAACAAAGCAGAAAAATATCACGAAAAAGAAGAGAATTATCATCATATTCAGTGTTTTATTCAATACATTATGATAAAGTAATAATAATCGCTAATTAAGCCAGAAATTACATAAACTGCTTAGTTTTATTTTGTTTGCAGAATGTTTCCATAAAAGAAAAAAAACAATTTAATACAATCAAAGAGAACAATATTGCAAGAAGATTGATCTTATTTGGCTAATATATATAATCATAATTATTTTGTTGATATATACAAAGAAAGAATAAAGAAGGATAAGAATGACCAGCTAATATTCTTAATTATTCGAAGAAAAAAAACCCCGATTATCATTATTATCACTATTAGAAATTTCTGAATAATGTACACAAAAGAACAATTCAATGAGAATAGTAATGGACTAGTTAAGATAAAGTATATATATATATATATATATATATATATAACTGTTTATTAGTTATTAGCAAATACATAAAATTACAATAAATCCATTTTAAATGACGAAATTACTATGCTCTTTGAAATTGGAGTGCAATGATCAAAACCGGAAAGAAAACAAAAAGTAATAAAACAATCATTTAACATTTATATGAATAAATATATAAACACATAAATACATTCAACGAGAGAAAGAGAGAGAGATAACATGATGTATATTCTTTCAAGTGAATGAAGTTCATAATAAATGAGAATAAATGGATTACACATTCTTCATAATTCCACTCTTACACCACCACCCCGTCACAAGCTCGAACACTTGGGGAATACTCCACACAAAAAAATAAGGTGTGTAGATATTTACAGATGCAAAATGTTAATTTAATATAAATCTCATAACAACATGTATGGATATGTATATATGTAAAAATAAACAAATAGAGAAGAGAGAAATAGATTATTTTATAGAAAAGAAAAAAGAGGCCAATAAGATAATAAAATTGAATTAATAATAAAAAAAGAAAGAAAATTGATGAAAAATTAATTGAATAAGAACTGAAAGATAAAGATACTTAAATTGATGCATAGATACGTGTAAACATGCACAAATATAATTAATTAACTTGTTAATTAGGTTTGTATACAAGAGTAACAAAAAATCTATTGACTAGGGTTACATATCAAATAACAGACATCTTTTTTTAATTTACTACTCATTTATAATAATAATAGTAATATATCAGATTATAACGGTAATAAATACAAACAATCACAGTAATGTACATTATGAATTTTCTTTGTTGTGGCAAATACAATAGAGATTAATAGTAAATAAAATAATCATAAATGAATAGAGAATAGACATCGATAATGTTTAAGATTGATCCATATGTAATTTAGCCATATAATCCGATAAATGTGAATTACTAAATCGATAAGCTGCTGTTGTAACTGTTGTTGAAGAAGAAGATGTTGTTGATATAATTTGCGCTTCAATTGATGATGGAATACTACTATCACTCAATTTTCTACTTTTCATTGAACTGAATTCAGTTGATTTATTCATTTCAACTAATTGATGCTCCATGTGAATAGCTTCAGAAAATGACCTATCAAGTTAATTACAGTTGGAAAATAATATTTTAAAAAATTAACTTTATAAAAAGGTAATTTGACAGAAAAAAAAAGTTTATAAATACAGAATTGTTTGTTAACCATTGGAAAGAAAATCCAGTATTGAATTAATAAATTAAGGTGTTAAAATAGTAGTCTATCCATAGTTTCTCAAAAATAAATAAAGATTTTTAACTTGTAAGTGCATATATCTTTTTGGTTAACATTGCCGAGGATTGAAAATGACCCGTCTGTTTTAGTTTATTTGCACCTTAAGTAAATCGCTTCAATAACGTTGAATATTGACAAAATTAAGATAATGACTAACAATGGAAAAAACTGGGCCTGGAGCCCCCCCCCTCCGAGACTACTGTCGGTCCCAAGCCCGGAAAAAGGAACAAGGTTGTGCATGGGGTTAGCAACCCCTTTCTAAAAAAGCGACAACCAGAAAAATAATTCAAACTATTAACATTGGAATAGCTTATACACAATCTATTATCTATTAATGGATTGAATAGGAGAATAACAGAATAATAACTAACTAAACTGTATAGTTTTTAGAATTCTCAACAAAATTAACTTTCATTAATACTAGTATATTAAATCATAATTCGAAAGTATTGCATTCGATCTGCACTAATAAGGACTAGACACGCACAACATTGGTCACCACCCAGTGATCAATCAATTGTGATTACATCTCAGTTCTACAGGAGTTCGGTCATGGCCTGGATACCTCAGTGGTAACGTCTCTGACTGTGAAGCTGGATGACATGGGAGCACCAGTTCCCTCAAGATTACAGGTATACCTTGCTGACGAGTGTCAATTAGCACGAAACCCGGGTCCAGGGTTTCCTGTCGACTACCTCCTACCACCATCTAGTAATGTCTCACTTTTTTATTTCTATTCTTGAATATATAAATATTATCTAGAAATCTAATCTATCCGAATGCCCTAGATTTATATTGGCCAAAATATTAAGTCATAATTTCTACTTTTAATTGACATAAAAAAACAAACAAAACTTTACTACATACAAATTAACAATAACTAATACATAGAATTTAATTGTATATTGTTGCCAGAAAAAAAACAACCTTAATTGTATAATTAAATTCATTGGTCAGTAATTTTGTTGTTGTTATTGTTGATAGTTCTATTCAACAGTATCATCATGAAAGTTAATCAACTCACCATAAATTCAGTAGAGAAATAGAGTATTTTGAAGCGATACTAATATTACTTATAGTTTAAAAGCCAAGAATGTTCTTTTTAAAAAAAGTTAGGAATAATCTGCCGTTACAAAACCAACCTTAAACAATCGATTATTCATATATATATGTTTGGATCTTACCACTGAGATGTTTAGTACTGAAATTGATCAGTCTCTTTTGCTTATTTTTTTTCTGATCACATTGTAATGTTTACTAATTGATGTGTTAAAAAGTATTTGATAATTTTTCCACAATCATTTCTTGGAGAGAATATACGACTTTTTATGGACACTAAATATACCATCTGATCATTAGAAAATTTGATATTAGTTACTACTCAATAAAGTTTCGGTGTAAACATTTCATATGGTCAATGCTGAGTTTATATGTCTATGACATTGGGATTAAGTGAAAAATGTTGTGAAGTCGATTTAGTATAAGTTTATTAAAGATCCTAAATACATTTCGTTAATGAGTCACAATATGTACATGACCACGAATTGAACTAAGTTAGACGCTTCTTGAAAACCAAGAAACATTGGACAGTTATTTCATCGTAGTATACGATGCTTCAGCACTGTGCACGCACTAGCAGATTAAGAAGTAGAATTAGGACCTTTAAGCGACTAGCTTTGAGAGGAAATTACTGGAGTTCAAGTGACAAGTCTTAGCCAGAGAAATCCTACCACATAAGGTGTGAGACAGTCATCCAGTGAAGACAATACCGTGGATTTGTTGAAGTCAGAAAAATAAACCGTTAGGAGTTAGTTCAGTGATCTAAATGTTCAGAGCTTTCCATGAGAGCTCAAAGTTCTAGGTGGATGCTCACTGCTGAGGAATCCCTTACTAGGATGAAATAGCTATCAAGTACTTCTTGTTTTTAGGTAGTTGTGTAAATAAACCCTACTGATCGAGCTATTAGTCAATAAATCTATAGATGCTGCTGCATTCATATATAAGTATTCTGATGCTTTATTTACTCCAAACATAAGAGCACCTAACGTAGTATGTCTATTTGATTAGTACAAAATTGTAAACAAAATATACCTTAATCATTTTAGCTAACACTAGCTGACTACGTCCTAAAGTTACGCACCGAAATGCCTATGAATGACAATAGTATTGTGTATCCGATGTTTCTAACACATACAACCAATGACATAACAGAACAAGTAGTCATGAAATACTTGTAAACTAATATAATATGTTTTTTAGTACCAAAGATCTAAAACAATCGATTTCGACATACCGTATTGACATATCAGACAATCAACACCGTTGAACGCCGGCTCAGTGGTCTAGAGGTTAAGCGTTTACGCGTGAGGACGAAGGTCCTGGGTTCGAGTCCTGCGTGCGGGATCGTGAATACTGCTCAAGAGTCCCATACTAGGATGAGATGGCCGTCCAGCGATTCTACGTTTTCAATAGTGATCTAGCTTAAACTGACTCACGAATTCAATAATCTCCACAAACCCCAATTCTGATATTAATCAACAATTGTTTAATAATAGGCGATAAGATAATTCATAAATATCCATCAAGGTTTTTATATTCACTTACGATATTGTCGGCAGCCAATGCTCCATTGGGAGTAACAGGCGTAAGTAAGTAAGTAAGTAAGTACGATATTGACCGGGTATCAGTTATTACAAACTGATGAAATTATTCTGGTGAGTAAAATACTGGTTGCTTTTACTCCAATGCAGTCCAACTCAATATAAATGAATATGAATCATTAGGCATGACTTTAAGTTAAAGTGGAGAACAGTTGAAATAAAGCATAGAAAAGCATTTTTGTATCGAGTACTCTGACTTAATCTAACAATACAACCCTAACAAGACTGTAAAATTTATCAGTTTTAAAATCTAATATTTCGAAAATGCCACCTAGTTAGTTTCTTGATCGTTCACCTAACCTCTGATTTAATTCTAAAAATTCTTATCATTTAAAGTTGAACAATACATATAAGTGAATAATCAGTTCTTTGCCAGGCTTTACCATAATATACAGTAATATGGAAGTATAAACATAAGTATACCTAGAAAATATTAAGTCAATCGAAGTAATATATGAGTCAATGATAAGAATGAAAAAGGATAACATGACTGGATATAGTAAATAACATGTATAAATTATTTGTAGGATCATGAATGTATCTACTAGTAGTGAGAAGAATATGAACAGTTTAAAAAAAGCAGTTCAACGAATTCTAAATATAGGCATATAAATATGAAAGCCCTGGACACTCGCTATTCATCCTCTAAATTTCGCAAATAACACCCCCACAGCGAGAAAGCAGTGAGTAGGACTTCCCCTGGAAGTGGTTGTATATACGTGGCCATGTGAGAGGATTTCGCGACGGAGAGCTGATTTCCCCCACCCCCAACCTTTGGTGGTTTTATGACGTTAGACTACTAACTTTTAGCTACAATGATCAGAGTCTCTTAATATTACGCTTCGGTTATTGCTTATTGTTGACGTTTTTTACCGTCATTCAATGTAAGGGGATCGTATGTACTTGATGGGTCACTAGCTAACTTTTTCTCTTCCAAATTCTCTCACATGCGACTATTTAACCTTTACCAGGAAAAAAGGCACATCCAGTTAGATATAATATTACCAAAAGTTGAGTGTTTCTATATATATTACTTCAATGTATTGCTCATTTCATCATGGGGTCTTTTACATTTGATTTTACCAATATTTTTAAAATTGTGGAAAGAAATGTTACATTGTCAATCCTAAGAATATTTTCATTGATTCCCTGTTTTAATTCTTTTGTATGCATTAAATTATAGAGGGGAAAAACCTAGAAATGAGTTTACACCAATTATGACTTATTGATTTTCCTCACTGCATTAGCGCGTAATCAATGAATGCACTATACACAATGAAAAGGTACTAATTAAATGCACCGCAAGTGAAAGAATAACAATAGATTAATGGTCAAGTATTAATGTTTTTATTGTTAAACTTCTTGCACGTAGCTCAAATAGTTGTACTTACAACATGTTTCCTTTAAACAAAAAAAGTAAAACACCTAAACAAGTGTGCAAACGTAAGTATTCAGTTGTAAGACAAACATTTTATGTAAGGGCTGATCGAAGTGAATTAGGTATGGTTGGGTTAGGACCACTTATGATATGTCAGTTGAAAGTCGAGTACTTGAATAAGTAAATTAATATCCAATTTCTTAATGTATAACTACTTACTAAATACAATATATTGATTTGTTGAATTGTCTATGATTGTGCAGAACTGTATTTCTAAGTGATTAGATTCGTTTTCTTTAAATCTATCTTAATTATAATAATTCTGTTTTCAAGACCCTGTAGTAAAAACATACGTAGCTTGGATACATATATTAACAAAAAGTATTTATATCTTCTTATGAATGGTGCAGATTGATAGTGGTAAGATGTACAAGTTGCATAATCTTAAAAACGTTCCGGTAACAAATATGCATCAATATTTAAAATTCTTTATCCTCACCACGAAATGGAATAGAATGATAAGTTAAAACAGATTGGTCAAATAGACAGCAAAAGAACTGTCTCATTGAAGAAAAAGTTCCATTCTCTTTAACTTTTTCATATCAGTGGATACACAAATCAAATCGGGCTTATCAAGTTTCTATAGTGTATCAATATGTTATGGCAACTCGGAAGTACATGTAAGAGAGGTGTAATGAGTGACTATGACAGTCAACTTCGCGAATGACATCAACTACATGTATGCTATGCTCAGTCGGAAAGCATATTACTGTAGTGAAAAATTGTTTTCATTAAAAACGATAATTTAGTGCATCATAAGAGTTGATAGTTGACTGTAGAGATATCAGTATTACACAAGTTTGTTCTATATGTACACAAAACTTTGGTAGTGAAACGTTCAGGATCAGGAATTATGAATTACAGGATATTTAATAGGTGTGACAAGAAAAATGTAAATAATCGGTACTGATAGCTATCTTCTTCTTTAGAGAAGAGAAAATAACAATAAAAGCACAACCTATTACTTACATTGCAACATTTTCTTCTGATACATTTGTAAAACATTTCCATCCAGTTTTAGCATGATGTCGAATTGTGGTCATTAAATTAACAACAGCTTCAGGTCTAGGTGGACGAATTAATTCAGAATTTGGTATCCAGTATACAGCATTCATCCATGCTTCTTGAGCGCCATCAATATTTACACATTTATTTGGTTGTTCATTATTCAGTACGGGAATCCAGTGTGATTGTGAAGCTGGGAGTAATAATGCATTTACACAAGATGCAATACAATCAGCTACAGTTGAGGGAGAATAACCACCTTCCAGTGCTAAAACTATACGACTGTTTGATATAGACATACACTAGAAAATGAATTGAAAAAATCATAAAATGAAAAAACCAAAAAAATACTAATTTAAGGGTTGAATTCACGAGTCAATTGAAGCTAGATCACTATGGAAAACCTAGAAGTATTGGACGGCCGTTTCATCCTATTGTGGGACTCCTCAGTAGTGCGAATCCACGATCCCGCCTCGCGAGACTCGAACCCAGGACCTATCAGTCTCGTGCGCGGGTGCTTAACCATTAGACCACTGAGCCGGCCAGTATCCAACAGTGTTAATGTCTAACTCCAACGAAGAAAATCAAAATTGTTATTTCACTGTTGAATTTTTCTGTGTTATTAATACAGATGACATTATTTAGTAGCTTTATAGAGTGGAATGTATAAGGGCAGGAGTTTATCAAGTTGATTATAAACCGCTTAGGACCCAATCACATAATTTTGTAACAAGAATATTGTCTTTAAGTAGAAGTGGTTGAAAATATTGTTGCATTCAACTGATGAATAAAAAAAGCACTTCTACAAATAAAAAAATACATACATGAACTGAGTACTAAGAGCTAATTGATACAATGTCGTGGAACTTTCAATAAAAAAAGTGATCATCTGATTGTAATTATTAAGGTGGTTCAAAGTTCCACACTTGTCAAGTTTTGTTGGTCAGTAGAAGGCGGTAGGCAGGAGGAAAGTATATTTGTTGGGAGAATTTACAAGGTACTTATTTAGATAATACCTACACGTAGTCTTCAATTGTCCATTTGCATCTTTTGGTGTTTTGCCAACGTCGTGCTCTCGATGTACTGAAACTCTTCACTCAATTTGACAATTGTTGCAACTTTGAAACCACGTTCACAAGCGCGTCCTGAATTCCACTGCTAGTCACTATCCATCATTGCTTACAAAAAAGCTCGTGAATTAAGGAAATATCGAGGCATACGCACAGTATGCACATATGCCAGTAACAGACTGATCAATTGCAGTCCTTAACCTCAATGGGAAGATACAAGTCAAACAATACCAAGTGAATTTAAATTCACCCCATTGCACAAACGAGTGGCTATCAGGACTCAGTAAGTAAGTGGATAACGCAATGGCGTTTGAAGCGAATGATACTGGGTTCGAGTCCCAGAGTGAACATCAACTTTGAGATGCAGGTACATCCAGCAGACGAGTCTCAAATAGGACGAAACGCGCGTCCTGGATCCCACTGCTAGCCACTATCCATCATTGCTTACAAAAAAAATTACGAAGGTTAGTTTCAGGATTCTGGTACTTACAGTCAGTCAACAACAGTAACTTCATTATTGTAACAAACACCTACTCTTCCAGCAAACAACAAAATACATGACACCAATGGATTTATGGTGTCGACTTTAAAGAAAAAACAAAATTACCTGATGCGTAATCCATGCAAATAAACCAGATGATACAGAATAACCGCCTAATGCTTCACCGTGTCCATAAGCAGCGTCATAACCAGCTGAAATCAATATAATATCTGGTTGAAATTCATGTCCGACTGGTATAACAACAGAACGCATTGCAGCTAAATACTCTGCATCACTTAAACCTAATAAAGGTTCTTTCCAAGTACTAGATGACAGTGGTTGATTATGATGTTGATGATGATTATATGCATTCGATACTAATGGTTGGTGATGTATAGGATATTGTTGAAAATGTGAATATGGATGATAAGGTTGACAATTAACTGGATTAGTTTCAGATAATAATAGATCTGATTTATCTGAGCATGATTCAATTGATTGTGATAAACAGAATGAACAAACTTGGCTACTTTCAGTGCTTGTTGCTTTATTAGATAGACAGGTACAAAATGGTGTAAGATCAGAATTTTGCCTATTTCTTATCGATATAGAACGTTGAAATGGTAAAGATGTTGAAGAGGATGATAAAGAATTGTGTTGTTCAGAATTACATTGATTTGAGTAACTCGGATACTGGTGATGATGATCAGATGAACCAATAGTTTTGCACAACTTTTGCTTTGAAAAAATACAATTAGAAGAGACGAAATATTGTATTTTAATAATTCAAAAAAGCATGCATTATCAATAACTTTTTTTGTCAATCACAATAGTACACTGTAATTGTGTAATTCAGAAGAAAGTTGAATGTGAGGCGGAAAGTAGTGAGTTCCAGGTGCCGTCTGACCATCATCACCGGGGTGAGGACACATTCAACTGACAAGTCCTATAGAGAACGAAACTCACGTCCTGGGTTCCACTGCTAGACACTTTCGCTTGTATGTATAAAATTATTGTCACTTAATGGCAATATCAAGGTGATTAGCGCAGGACGAACGTATACTAAAAAAGACTGATCAATCACGGTTCACAAGATCAATGGGGAAATCCAAACTCTGTAGTGTAAACTAATAGGTTAGTGGTTGAATCATTCAACTTTCAGTTAGTAGATCACAGGTTCGAGGCTCATTCCAACTACTTTAATTTAGACAGCCGGGTAACATTTATAACCCCTACATAGAAAATTGTGACACACATGTGTATAAATAAATGCTTACTTGGGAAATGAGTTGTGATGATTTTGTTTTGGCACCCTAGTGTACCAAAACCCTCAAACAATTCCGAAATTTGAGAGATTACAATATTACCATTATGTTCAATGAAGAACTTCATTATCTTAGAATTTCATGTTTTATACTATTTTGTATATTGTAATTACATATGTAAAATGATACGAACAACTTACTTTATCCTGTTCCGATCGATTAGCAACATTCTAAAGTGGAAAATAATAAGAAAATATCATTGAAATAAAGTTATATGGTATTTATGAAATATTATGTTTCAGTGGATAAGAAATACAGTAAGTTAAAATGAAATACTGAAGATTTCTGATTTTAAAGGTAGGACTTTTAGTTGTTTAATATCAACGTAAAGCTGTCATTGGTTTTCCACATATCCCAATCAATAAAACCATACTGATTATAAAAACAATATTTCATTTTCCTCCCAAGAGATTCGTTTTTAAATAAAAAGGATATTGTTTACTTTATAAATTAAATCTTATTACAATGAGTAAAAATGATGAAAGAACTTATCGACTGTTCTGTGACTATCAATTTTTTAGCAGTGAAATCCAGGACATGCGTTTCATCCTATTTAGGACTCGCCAGCTGGATGTACTTACATCCTAGAGTTGATATTCAACGGGAAGATTCAGGCAAACAATATAAAAATGAATTCTCAATTTTATATTTGATTGTTCACTTTTCGTCTGGTAACAAAATCATGTTATCTTTAATGATCATGCTGTCCGCATAAATGACAAATTTCATTCCCTAATAAATACAGTTATTTGGTAAGAGATTCTATCATCTGAAAGTCATTTTGTCAAAGGTTTGGTGAACAAATCTGCGAATGAACAGTTTACTTACTCAAGTAATTTACCAAACTGACCAGGTGGTTATAACACTAGTGTTAGTTTTAATCTCTTCAGGTAATATTAGACTTTATTTGGTGGAAAATTACCATTATATGGGATGATAAGAGAATATTAAAGTTATAATATTATTTCACACTAATAAAAAAAAACGTAATTTCTGCAAAAAATGTATAGGAGAACGTTAAAACTAAACCAATTCATTGGTCGTTTTCTGAGAATTAACATTTACCCTGACAATCGTTCATCGATGAAAAATATCAAAAATATGAACAAATTGAGACCAACATCAAGAACGCTTACTTGAAACCATCGTTTCCTTCTTTCATCAGCATTTAAACTATAAGGACTAACAGTGGATGTCGTTGTTGATCGACGTTTCATTTGTGATCTAATTATTTCAGTATAATTATTATCATTTGTACCATTGTGTGGATTTTCCCATGCAATATTTATTAACTGAGCTGATGGAATTATCGTATTGGAAATATCATTGGCAAATTTATTATTGTAATTTATATTCGCCATATAGTTTGCACTATGATCATCGAAATGATTGAATTTTTCTGAGGAAATGTTACTATCAGAAACTGATACAGTAACAGGATTAGTAGAGGTGTGATCACTATCACAAGAATTACTTTGTGAGGATTGATTCTCTTCTGTACAATTAGATACTGAACCAGTACCAGGAAAAAAAGTCCCACCATCATATCTATGCAAGCTTAAATAAACTAATCCAGGATGTGTTGTAGCCAGCTTAGTTCCATTGCCATGATGAATGTCCCAATCAAGAATTAAAACTTTTGAAACAATACGCTCACGTAATAAATGCAATGCAGCAATTGCAACAGAATTGAAATAACAAAATCCCATAGCTTGATCTGGTTCAGCATGATGACCAGGTGGGCGAACAATAGCGAATCCATTACGGAAATGACGTTTCGCTACCCTGTAGATGAAATTAGAAAGTAAAAAAGAGTTATGAACAAATTTCTCACCATATTTTTAAATATCTCGATGCTATGCAGTGGTCATTTATCACAGGGTTAAGGATACATTTTAAAGGTCATTTGATTGCTAGCACGTTGCTCACTACTTAGTAATTGGATTAGAATCTTATAGTATATATACATTCATTGAAAAACTTAATTATTTGTGACAATCAGTAAACAACACATATACTTAACTTGGTTAAGTGTCAAAGTTAGGATTTTCTAGTTAAAATAGAGAACATCCATTTAATTGCAACTATTATCATGATCGCTAGATTATTAATCAATTAAGTAAATATCAGGAAGTGATTTTAAGATATATTTTATAGAAGACAAAACTGAATGCTTTAACTAGAAATTTATAGCAATTCATATAGTTACTAGTAAGATTTTTCATATTTCTGGAATATTCACTTATATATACTGTATATATTCATGACATAACCAACCTAATGAACACTATATCTCAAGTTTCTTCACATTCATTTATGATCAATCTACAAGTGTTATACCTTTTCCATCTCAACAAAATGAAATACATACATTCTAACTTGGTAGGATTTTCAATATTATTTTTTATATTGTAAACTATGGAAAAGAGTTCAGAGAATAAACTAAAATCCCTTTTTTGTTTCTATCTCATTACACTTATTATTATTATTATTTCTTTATCGTTATGTGGAATGTTAGTACACACTAATTTAGCCTAGAATTTTTGTTTAATTTCATTAAAAAGATGAATCCATTTAAAATTTCTACTTTCGTTCGTTATTAGTTATATATATATATATATATATATATATAGTAGTTTATGCATTACATACATAAATTCAGTAAAGTATAATAAATAATGGATGAAAATAAATATGAAATAGTATAAAAGATACACATATAGTATTAAGAAATCATGTACACATAGGTATTCATTTAATTATTATTTACATAAGTAAATAGAATTACAATGTTATAATGATTGGTACCTAGAATAAAGTCATAGATGAAGAAAATTGTTTGAATTAATATTAATAAGCTTTTAGAAAGAAAAAAAAGGGTTCATAATGTATTCGATGAAGAAGTGGCTTATTTGTTTAAAAAAAAGAACTTAATTTTTAAACACGCTTTTAATATTATTTAATCATCAAGCTGTATCACGAGGCAAACACTAACTTCGAATCCCGAAGGTAAATGGAAAAGAGGTGGGTCAAGGAACAAACTATGTCGAGAATTGGGAGCAGACATCAAAAGAGTGAATATCAACTGGAAACGATTGTGCAGGATAGAGTTGGATGAAAAATGCTGGTGAGCGGCCTATGTTCCTGGACGTGAGGTAACAGGTGTAAGTAAGTAATGTACAGTATAAACTTTGAGGTTAAGATTACTGAGACTATATAACATCGATAATTTATTACGTGATAAATTTTAATATGTAATTATGGAAAGTTCTAGAATGATTCAAGAAACAATTATTTGCTTATTCTCCAGTATACGTTGCGTAATACTAGGCAGTAACATTTCGACAATCGACGAAATTGAAAGTCAATTTTTTACGATAATATCAGTAAAATCTGTATCAAAATTTCTGACACAGGAAATTCATCCGACTGACATATGGAATCAAAATTCCATAGGAATCTTCAACATCACTGTAAATGTTCGATATTCAAAAGGCAGCAACGTCAAGATGTTCCCTATTGTTCGCAATCCCAGTGGTCACTGACGAATGATCATCATAAATCTAACGAGGCCGATTTGTCAAATTTAGTAGTAGTTACTTCTTATCTTAAGAAAATTATAAAATGGAAACTTGTTTATTATGTAACTGATTTAATATGTAGTTCTTCGTTCACTCGTAAATCATGTAATTGTGTCACACAATTGATTTTTATCAACGGATTACTATTTACAATCAATCGATCGGACAATGAAGTACTTAGTTTGAATACCTAACATTTATAAAATACAAATACCTAATCAAGGCAAAAAAGGTTAACAATTAACAAAGCCAGTCATTTTATGGCTTACGTCGAAGAGTATGCGATATGATGCTTGTACTGTATTCGAGAATAGTGGGGTAAAACTTTATTTTTCATGAAACTAAACCCCGTTTGAATTACTCAAAAAATCTCACAACTTGTTCTGATATGAACAGCATAGGATTTCATGAGTAGAAAATTGACATAAAATCATGAACTGATCAATGCTAAGCGACCATTGAACATCTGGAAGCACTGAACGACCGTTTCATCCTAGTATGGGACTCTAGTGGTTCCAGGTTTTCAATGGTGGTCTAACATTGGTCGGTTTATGATCTCAGTTAAAAATCAACAATCTCAACAACCCTATACTGAGAAAATTTAGTAGTTAAGTACTGACAAATATTTGGGAGTATACACTATTAAATTCTAGCCACATTAAGCGTATGCTTATTCATGATATACTGGTACCTATGGAACCTCTGACAATGTTATCGAAAGCCTATGATGATACCGGAGTACATCATTGACCACACATCAAATTTAAAATTTTTACTACTAATGTCTAATATATTCTCTCTTATAATCCAACGAAAAAATCTAATACTATTGATGAATATACTCATAACTAACTTGATTAAATTGCACAGTTCGATATGTCAAGATTCTTTAATTCCACTAAGGATCCCCTCGAACAAGTCAGTAATATTACAGACAAAAATACAAGTATTAGACTGAAAGTTATGTAATAAATAAAATATAATTAAGGAAAATTTATAATCCAGTATCACAATCAATAAGAAAATACTACAACAGGCAAACTCATTTTAACTAATACACTAGTCAGTAAAAAAATGATACATGGTTAGTTAGTTTGCTAGCCCATAGCAAAATTAAATCGCTGTTTATAAATTCTAGGTAGCATAGATTTCAGTGATTTATTAGTGACTGCCATTTACATGATAACTCTAAAAAAAACTGATGACTTTAGATAAGAAAAGTAACCCACTGTGTGTCACTGAATAAAAAGTAAGGCGAACAAAACAAAGAAAATTTTCTTTCCAACAAAATCAATTACTTAATCAGTATATTCATATTTACAGTTGTTTGATGAATATATGGATCTATAGAAGAATAGAAATAGACTACATCATAAGGTGTTCCGAGATTTCAAGTATTGAAAGCAGGTTGCATAGTGATCGGGAAGTTGGACAAGAATAGGGGGTGGAAATAATTTATGGGTTATGAAAAACAGAGATGCTTATCTCGTTAACATACATGAAGGAAAAAATGGGAAAATGTAAAGGTCATAATAACAAGTGAATAACAATCATGGAAAGCTGTTAGAGGATAATAAGAACTGATTACGGTTTTAAAAATAGTACAAAATAATAACAATCAAAACGAAAAAAAGACCGAAACGTACTGAAAAAGGGAATTAGGGCCATGAAAGGATCAAAGATTGCATGTATTGCTTTAGCACAAAGAGTTCAGGCTTGAAATTTTGAATTTTCAAACCCTCAGCAATTAACAACTTTTTGGTTCGACCTCGCTTTGATCCCATTCTTTGATTATTTAAATTATTTTGAAAGAAGGTCCTTTTGGGGCAATGTGCCAAGAGTTGATTAGGTGCTCCTGTATTGAAATACTGATTGCTTTGCATGGCCCTCTTAAAAGCCATCGTGGGTGATGTTCTGAGATGTACTTGGAAAGCGTTCGTTTGATGTGGCCAATGTAACCTGTCCCGCAAGAACAAGTAAACTTACAAAAGTAAATCAATGTAGCTCAACGCACAAGTTTATCCTCAACGTTTTCTTAAATAGTAGATCGGCTCGAAAATATATTACGAAGCTTAACTAAATAGGAAGTCTTCCTTCGCGATTTCAAAATTCGTTTATTTATTATTTCTGCTATCATATATCCCTTAAATTCGATATTCATACAAGAAGTTTCATTGTGAACTGTCGGTGATCTTTCAGGTTCCAGTCTCTGTGTTAAGTTGCTATCGATGAATCATTCATAACGAATATTTTAAAAAGTATCGCAACATTCAGAAATGAAGTTTCTGTTGACAAAGAACCTCGGTCGTTAGAAATGATTGTTTTATTAGATAGTTGTATTGAAACTAAAAATATAGTATACAGAGAAACAGAATAACAATAAAATAATGAACTAACTGATGAGCAAGGCATAAAACTTGACCAACAGCTAAACGAGCAGCACGAGCTGTTCTACACGGATTCCAAACTGTATCTGAATCTACACCAACACCACCACAAGCTAATGAACATAACTGATTTGATAAACTTGTCGTGGTACATGAATTAAATACTGATAATCCACGATCAATAGTTGTAGATCCACAAGATACAGTTGATAATGATGTAGATTCATTTGAACATTTTGAAGACGGTCGATCATCATTTGAAACAGTGGGAATAGTGCCAAATGTTTGAACATATTCATTTGAATGGAATATTTGTAATTCATTCTGTCAAATGAAAATAATTAATTATACGCTTATACAAAGGAAGAACAAGATGGTAAGACGATGGAATATATAGTCAATACAAAAACGTTACCATTTAAACTTTTTTAGGAAATATATTATTATTAAAACACTCAATGAGCTCATAGACTATTATTTCGTAGGCTAAAAAATGTTATGAACGAATATTTTTTTAAAACATGTACTTCTAACCATCATAAGAAAAGCTTTAAGAGATTCCTTTATCAAAAATTGAATGATAATTTTTTTTTTGGTGAGATGCAGAATGGCATAATTGATTGTTTAAATTGATATACATATATAATGGTAATGTTGAGTTCGCTAAGCTAGGTGGCTCAATAGTGAAAAATCTGAAACGTTTGACAATTTTGAATGTTATCGGATAAAGCCACCTCAACATAACAAACTCATATTACCAAAACAACCACCTGAAAAACCAACTTTTTCCATTATATCCAAAAGGATTATGAAGACAAAGTATAATTTAAAATGACTGTTATATTTGTGATATTCACTTTAACGTAGATGATATATAAACAATGAGTACAGTAAAGTCAATCACCAATTCAAGATAATTTTCTGTTTGGATGACTCGGAATACTTGAAATCAATTTAATGTAATATTTTTATTTTACACAGAAGAACGAGTTATTGTATGATGGCACTTTATTTAGAAATGACTATCAATCATATATATTTATCATAGAGGTGGCCTAATAGTCAAGGTATTTAACTACTAAGTTCCAGGTTTTGACCCCGCTCTGTCTACTTTAGTTCAGGCAACCTAGAGATATCATTAGCCTCCATACCTAGGGTGTGAGCTCATACCCAAATACTTGGTGTTTGAGTTATGGAACATAATCAAAACGCAGTGTTGCATACAGCTATTCTAATTAATGTTATCTGAATATAATTCCCCTATCTAATATAATATATACTCATTTATTCAGAGTAATATCAAAGAAAGTAGGAAATTATTTTTCAAAAAGAATAATGATAATATCCCTATTTTATTAATTCTACCATCTAAGTAGACAACTGTACAATAGAAGAAAATATTTCGGAATACAAAACAAAAAAAATTCAATAAACGATAATAAAAACAACACAAACACACACACACATGAAAATGGAGTAAAAATAGTCAAGAAATGGGGTTAGCTGAAAGTAAGAAAATTAAACAGGAAATGAGGGCTAAAATACGGTCACTGTGGACACTATATGAAGTAATAATCATAACATATTGATTAAATAATATTACTCAAATGGTATAATCGGGAAAAATTAAATCCAAGAATACTACAAACGATTTATTGTAAATACTAAGCGAAAATGACAATACAGTGCATACATCTTAGCATATAAATTTGATAATACTAGATGAAATGAACTAATTGCAAAATTTAATATAATCAACCTCACAGAAGCACATAAAATAAATCAAGTTATACTAAGTTAAACCAGTTCTCAACTAGAAAGTGTAAACTGTAAGCTGTCAAAATAGATGAGGATTACAAAAGTATCTGAATCGCTTTACCGTTTTAAAATATCGATGTTATAGCCACTACATCTGTTGTAATAGTAAAAATAGTCGTTTGTCTTAATATTGATATGAAAGATGATAAATACTACAATACAATTGATACACTATTCCTAGATTGAAGGATAATACAATTGGGTATAGTAGATCATGATACTAGATATAAGATAATCAGACCACTAGACTAGATCACATTATACACACAAACATAATTTTAATCAATCATTGGGATACTGAAAAGTAATGAGTAGATACAATATCTTTTTTAGGCTAAAGTATGGATTTGAAGTAAATAATTGATTATGATACGTGAAAAGGTGACAATTAGTAAAACTTTAAAATTACAGTGAATAATAAATCCGATGCGTTTTATGTTCATAAACCATCATTTATAAATGTTTATGATAATTTATATCTAATCGACTGAAACAAATAAGCATTATTGAATTGACTAAAGAGAGTTTCTTTATTTTTAATCAACGTATCAAGATTTTTTAAAAAGGAAAATATTTGTAGCTGGTATATACTTCATGCAAATGAAGAGGATTATAGTGAATAATAAAAGTCAATATGATGGATTACATTATTACATTAATAAAAACAGAGATGGTAGATTTATTTTCAATCTAACTATACGCAAGATACTCAACGTCCGTTGGTCAGATACCATCAACAACAGCCTACTGTGGGAGAAAACTAACCAACTTCTAGATGAAGAGAAAATTAGGAAAAGGCGTTGGAAGTAAATAGGATATACATTGTGAAAATCATCAAATTGCATCACGAAGCAGGTGCTAACTCGGAATCTTGAAGGAAAAAAGGATGGAGGAAGAGAAAAAGACACACTGGGTCGAGAACAGGAAGCAGACATCAAAAGTATGGATAGCAACTGGAAAGGATTATCCGGGATAGAGTTCAATGGAGAATACTGTTGGGCGGCCTATGCTCCTTCACAAGGGATAACAGGTGTAAGTATGTATGGGAAAGATAATAATCACCTGATTTAATTGTTCATTAGTTTATAAAAAAATAGTTCCGGTAGCACTTCAACAATTATGTTTATAATTCAACGATAGAGAGTGGGAAGGAGAAAATAAATCGACCTACCTTAGGTCAATAAACACCACAAACTAACATTACTCATTAAAGTATGTTCAAATGATATCCTGAGCCTTTACAACATCACAATTAGATTGGATTAATCAGCCAAAGACGAAAAGACACTAATCTATAAATAATCATAAGGATTATTTATTTATTACAATAAGAAAAACAGACCCATTTCAGCATACTGGTATCATTTCAAAGTGAGTGTACGTTTCAAGCACTACAAGATATCAGCTTCTAAAGTGCGTTAATTTGAAAAGTACTGATCACCTGACTGCTGTATATATATCGATAAGAGGAAGGATATATGAGTTATTATTTACTCAGTACTTTTACGAAAAAAATATAAAAACAAGAAATATATCTAAACATCTTGCATTAATTAAATGAAAAACGTAAGAGATCAATGCTTTCATTTTAAATTAATGATTTAACAGAAAAAGTGAACTTTTCAAATGATAAACCCATTCTATAGGGTAGAAAACGAGTTATAAAATACAACTGTGAATTTCACAATTTGGAGAAACGACTCTTTCTTTTAGAATATTCTATGAAGAATAGTCTAAGAAACTATTAGATAATTATTAATTTTAATACTGAATGAATTGAATTCAAGATGAAATATACAGAAGACGTGTTTTCATGCATATATATAAAGTTATTCAACATAAAAACATAATTTACACAAATAAACACTATCACAATTACTAACCTTTGTTGCCATTCGTGCACGAACTAAACGACAAAATGCCAGTAAAGGCAAATGTGTAATTAAAGCTTCTGAAATATCTGCATGATTTTGTAAAAATTGACTGAAATCATGCTGTAGAACAGGCATATCATACAAGGCAGTATATTTAAAACTTTCAATTAAATTGTTTGATGCATACGACGACATATGTGGAGGTATACAAAGGGGTGTACGAACAAGGCGTTCTAAAGCAGGAGTTAGGCGATCTGGACATTCAGGATGAATACTTGAATCATGAGCATTGGGACAAAGACATTTATGTTCAAGCATCTCCGGATCAAAGGCGATGGCAGTTACTAAACTGTGATTTGGGATGCTAAAGAACAGAGACAAAAGAAAAGCACTATGTAGTATAAAACATTTAAAGTTATTATATATATACGCTAATCAAAATACAAATCATGATTTCCCGAAGACTAGTGGATACATTTCAAAATATATTACTTTTCAGTTTCATCCATTTCAAACTAATCAGTGAAAAAGATTAGTGCCGTAATAAGCGATAAAAATTTACTCAAATAAAAGTGTGAGAAAGGATAAATTGTATGCCTTAAAAGCCTTACACTGACGTTTCTTTTCAATAATTTTGAAGTTCACAAGTTCGGAAATGAATTCAAAAATTCATCACAGAATTTAAAGTTCAAATTCATATTGAATAGCAGAACAACACTATTTAACATCAACATTTACGTTGTTTTCATTGTTAACTAAATGAACACAATAACTAATAAGGGTAAGCCATTATATATAATTATAGGTTGAGGTTTTCGGCAACATTCTAAATATTCCTTAAATGCATCGCGATCAGCACTTTCCGTCATCTCACCTTTCATCTAGTGAACCAGTGCTGTATATTAGAGAATAATTTTCATTAGAGACGTCATATCAAGCTCTAATTTTTACTAATATTCATATACTAATGGTATTGCAATTTTCAATGATGCTATTTATGAGAAGATGGAATTGCTCTATCGAAATTGCTTTAGATGTTATCTATGTAAGTGAGTGTTAAAAAGAAATATATTTTTTGTGTAGAAAAATAACTATGATGAAGTACACAGAATGCGCAGATTTTTAATTAACCTTTACCAGCTTTGTATTTCATTAAAAATGAGTAATATTTTACAAACCACTGGTCAACAATTCATAAAACTAATGAAGTACTGACAACATCCTCAAGAATAACATACATATATTCATAATTAGTTCTGAAAATCAGCGAATATAGAATTCTGTCTTGTATATTAGACTTAACATCTACTGATTGTAAGAACAAGTAGTTTGGAAAATGGCAATTCAGTAGTACAGATAACTACTTGTAAGGGTTTCTATCCCCCTTATTGATACACAGATCTGAAGAACAAGTTACAATTTTATAAAATTTAAACAAACAAATCTTCAACCGCCACCCCACCCACTGCCCAAAAAAGAAACGAAGCAAAAAAGCAGTCGAACCAACTTGGGATAACAAGTTGTTTTCATGTCTGCATGATAACTCTGAGAAAGCCAATCACTTTCGGGTAGAGCAGACCAAATATCTGATGCTAATTTATGAGATTGATATATTTTTGACAAATTATTGTCATACTTATTTTTGGCGCTATTGACAATAGGATTAGAGGATGTAGCATTATCGACGTCATCATCATCACACTTCCTGTCATTACCTCCACAACCATCATCTATATCTGTGGATATATTTTGTTGAGTAAGTGGATTCAACACTGAATTGTAAACCAAGTTGGATTTAGTACAGTTTGGTGATAATTGACTCTCCCAATCCATTTGACACAAAGAATGAGATTTATTTACTGGATTTCTATGCCGAGATTCAACAATATTTGACTGAACTGGAATTGAAGATGAAGCTTCCTGGCAAAGTTTTACAAGTGCTGACAATGCTGTATTTTTCAAAAATATATAAACAAGAAGAGGAATATAGAAAAGATTTAATTAATTGTATGATTGGGAAAGGTGATGACTTGCCAAAAAAAACACCATCAAAATCAGTTTGGTTTGTTATTATTGGAACAAGTACTTTTGTTTAAACTTTGTTGTACTTTTTTCTTCCTGCCTGAAATTTCTTAAGAAAATATTGTCCTATTGAGTGACAAACCTTCCTTAAACGTGAAAACCGATTTGGAGTAACACATGAACAGATAGAAATATTTTACGTATAGAAATAAACTATATCCTAACAATATCCGGCTCAAATCTTAATCCACTTACTTCATCAAGGAAAGTTAGCGAGTATCCACAAGTTCTCTTACAAACATTATGGTTCAAAATTGATTACATACACCCGGTTACTTGGTAGATGAGTTACACTAATTAGTTAAGACTGGTATATGACATTGTAAGATTGGTTTGATATAATTACAATCAATTCTTTTATATGTGTAATAGACAATCACATGATCTGTTAACTTAATTAACATAAAATGAGAATTTCTCTTGGTGGAAATGCAACCAATATATTTAATGAAACAAAACAAACAAAAAAGTTTATACTTTAAGAATTTAGTTACTGATTTGTTTACATATACACTTTCATATAAAATTTCCAATGATCACACCACAATAAGACATTTATTTAATAGAAGAAAAATGTTTCAAAATATAATTAAAATTGTCTCTTGATAATTAATATAATTATTGTTAACAGACATATGAATTCAATAGTATTTGTATATATCGGTAATCTAATTATCATTATAAATATACAGATTTGTTAAATAACTATTGTCATACAAGTAATGATGGATCGTCCACGGGATCGTGGATGCGCACTGCTGAGGAGTCCCATACTAGGACGAAACGGCCTTCCAGTGCTTCCAGGTTTTCCATGGTAGTCTAGCTTCAATTGACTCATGATTTTAACTATTAAATTTTTTAAAAATCTCCACAAAACCCCTTCTGATAATTATGGATATTAGTAACAAAGCAGGGGTTTGTGTAATAAAACATAAGACATTTTTGTCATATTAAGACAGGATATAATAAGTGCCAGTTGGAGTAAGCAATCAGGTTCGAAGTTCCTTGAATATCTAATACATATACATGTTAAGGGGTGGAGAAAAGAATAAGCGTAGATAGGATAATGAACTGCGAACAATCATTCTATCAACAGCCCTAACAATATGCTCTTCCTATTTACAAATAAGAAAAATATTTTGGTGTTTTGAGTTCGCTGAGACGAACAGTTAAATTGCGAAGCCTTCATTGTTGTTCTGGAAAACATCATCAGTGCAATCCGTGCTGAGATATTCATGTATCATAATGACAATTGGGAATTGAAAAGTGCTACAAAACTTTCTCAAGAGGGATAGAAAATATTATCTTATGGGGATAAAATTAACAGCTAGAATTCGAAGCTAATGAGTCGTCTCTTATACAAGTCAATGACTCAGATTTAATGAATTGTACCGTATTAAGAATGACGATAATAGAAATATGTTCTCATTTATTTTACTCATCACTTAAATAAATAAATAATACAGAGCAATACAAAAAGAGATGGCTTAGTGATTAAGACGTTCGAGTTTTAAGCACGAAGTCCCCAGTTCGAGGGCCACTTCATCTGCTTCCGTTTGAGCATCCCGATAGTATCCTTAGATCTCACACTTAGTGTGGTTCATGCCTAAGTACCGGGTGAATGAGTTCAGTCAAATTGATGAAAAGCATGGGGAATGAAGAATATTAGTTGAAAAATGTCTTTATATCTAATCAACGATTGAATAGTAAACGCTAGACAGCATGATAAAATTTTTCTTTAATAAATATTAAATTCATGTCTAGGAGTCATAAAGTGAAAAAAAGCGAAGGTAAAAATTGATGAATAAGTTTCAAGAATATGGAAATCTACTTGTTACATACCTTCATGATAATTCACATTTGCACCGATTTCGGAGAAAGGAAGGTATTCTTCAAGGTGCCTTGAATCACCTTCACGATAATGAACTCTTTGTGATTGATGATAAGAATCTGTGTCATTTCCAAACTTCTATAATTAAATAAGAGCAGAGACAGATAATACATATAAAAATTATATAGATATAATCTATGAGCACATTAAAATGACTGTAAGTAACCGCTGGTGTTCTATATATCATGGGAATAAATATCAATTCACATTACCATGAATTCAACGGCTTGTGACATATAACTCTTAGGTTTACATATTCATTGCATACAAAAATCTTATAATCCAATTTTTGTTATAAATTAGTATTTATTTTTTGACATTTAATGTTAAAAATACCACCCAACTGCTCAAAACATAGTTGACAGAGCGTTACGTAAATCTGTAGCATAGCAACGACTAAGAAAACAACGGGACAGTCACCTACAAATGTATATGTATATGCACACAAATAAAAGTAAAGTACCTATAAATAGACTAAATTGTCATACAGTAAAGAAACCGAATTTATCCACAGAATTAAATAAATACATTTAGTTAAAAATAAATCAATAATGACTGAACAAGACAGTAAAATATTGGTAAAAACACCTTGATTGGTTTCAAAGCTTATTTTCATCACTAGCTCACAATATTTGGCAAATTTTTTAAATCAGTTTATAGAAAGACCATAAGTCTGTAGCGCTGAAGAAAACCAAAACAAAACAGTTGCCTGATTGACTCTGATTTACAATGTTTCTTCAACTGACGTTATTTGATAATGCAAATTACCTACGAGACATTCGGAATTATATAAATGATCTATATACAACAAACTGTAAAAAATCACTAGTATGAAATGATGATACCACATACATCAGTGAATTACCTTTAGCAAAACTACAGTCAGAACAAATAATTGCTAAGGTAACTTGAATATGGTTTAGTCCTCAGATTCGTTTATTGTCGTGCAAAATAACGTAGACATTATATGATGAGTTTGAGTCACTGAAATGATTTTAAATTAAGTGTAATGTTTTGTAGACATGAAGTTGTCCTGTGAGCACGATACCCATTAAGACGGGATCTAATGATTTACGATCCCAACAATATAGCACAAAAAAAGTTCAACGTCACTGATGATAATAATATTACTACAGATATGGTGGAACTCTTCAGAACGTAGGTAATTATGAATATTGGCATGTTGAATAAGATTTATGACGTTTTTCTAGAACCATGTAATGTGAGACAAATATATATATTCTTTGTGTAATATTGACAAACACAATTGCATATTAACTAAACACGAACATATATATATATATATATATATATATATATATATATAACATAGTGTAGAGTTAGATTTCATTGTCTTCGTAAACACATTGATATTCAGACAATATACATAAATCACATAAAGAACTATGAAGTCAATTATGCCGCAGAAACCTCTTGAATTTTACAATGAAAAAAAGCACAACATACAAAAACATTCAAATATACGAGAGCTCCGTATGCTATTAGACATAAGTAATAATTATTACACTTTTGATTACCTAGATGTGATATTTTGATTTATATGCTTTACATCGGAACTATGCATACAATTTATATACAATTTTCATCCACTGCAAAATGCAGTAATAAATTAGAATTGAACATTAGCTTACAAATATTAATTCTATCTATTTATAATCTGTGATAATCCATAAAATAATTTTCTGTAGTCAACTGAACTTGGAATTCTACAAAACGAGGTTTAATATTGAACATAAATAGGAATTTCTGATCTGTTTGATATCAACGAATTCGTTGATAAAAGGTAAATTAAACTGCATGTCCATAGTCAAATAGACAGCAGAAACTATGATTGTAAGCAAATAAGCAAAGTCTAATTTTTTCGGTGAACACATAAAGAATATGGCCATCAAGAGGTCAAAGTGGAAAGGCTTGAAATTTCTCTCACTAATAATAATAATAATAATAATAATAATAATAATAATAGTTTTGATCCGTCTAAAGTATGGTGTGTTACATCACATTACCGTACTTCCCTAGAACAATCGGTAGGTACGCACACATGTGTGAACAAAATTATTCGGAGTTTTAAAGCATGAAAAGTTTCTTTTTCGAAAAAATCGATAGTTATTTTATTGACGGATATCACTGAAATACGAATCAGTGAAAAATATCTTTCTAGATACCGATAACAAACTAAGATGAATAAATTTCTATCTCATGGTTTTTGTGATGAAGCATTTTGGATTTGTATTTACCATCCAATAGTAAACATAGTTAATTCCTACAAATACTCTTTTATCGTTAATGTGATTAAAAACGACCTTGATGTAATCTGGACAAGTTCTGTATTCAAATTCTGTTCAGAATGGTTTCTAGCAGATTAAGTATGGATAAAAACTCAGAAGATCTGTTTAATGAAAAAACATAGTTACAATAAAATTAAGTTTTCTCTACGATAAAAATGTGTTCAATAAGCCAATAAAGTATAACATTTGCATGTTCATACTAAGTCTAATTAGCATCTATCAATATAACGTTAACCATTTCTAAGCGGTTATTTAACAGAGTGACCTATTCGTTTATATAAGTACAAAGTCAGATAAGTAATGTTCATTGTGAATTTCGCTTAGTGAATTAAGATAAATAAGTGAATGTAACATGGTATTAAATTGTGTTTTTCTGTCAAGCATTCAAATTTACGTTGTATCACCTCCCCCCCCCAAAAAAAAGACCAGCAGTCAACTAGTATCCCAAATATAAATATTATCACTGAGCTACTTAAACTACAAGTGGCCCTACTGTAAGATTAAGAATTTCATATGAATCGATAACCATATAGTAAATAATGTTGTAATATTATTTTAAAACTAAAAACTGATAGAATATAATCCAATTTAAATCTTTTGTCTTCTTATGTCTGTATTTTCAAAGTTGTCTAATAATAACCTTTACATTTTACTAAATAAATCAAATAACTTTCAATTAACAGAAATGAAATAAACTATAGTACATCACAGATACTATAGGGTAACGAAAGCTATTTACATAAAGAATGTAATTCTTTCTTAAAAATTAAACTTTGAAACTATGTAAATTATACATTTCAAAATGAGAATTTTTCGTGTGTGTAGGCGATTTCAGACATCTTGACGGCCAAATATTTATAAATAATTCACATTTTAACAACAAGAAAGTTTATCATGTATTGAAATAATACTAAACATTTTTTATACGAATTTTTATTTATTTATTTAAACACATAAACATTGGTACAAGGATAGATATGCCCCACATAAATCATTCGATATATGTGAGAGCTAGGATACTTCCCGGGTGACCAAACCGAAACAGATGGTTTTCATAGGGGGTCACACCCCGAATCTTTGACCTAAAGGTCTGATCCATAAAGCAGTGGAGAAACGTCAGGAGAGGCTGTTCCATGGTAGCCGGTGACCAATGATTGGTTTATACGACATTTGTTCCTTTAGAATACTGGAGCCCATGTGCACCATTGGTTTGGAATCAGGGTTTTTCAACTCCCCTATGTGAACTCTTCGTGTTCACTAACCCGGACATTCACTTTTTGTCCTCTCAATTTCGTAAACAAAAGTAATGTCACGAGAAAGCAGCGACTAGGACTTCCCTTGCAGTGCTTGTATGCACGTGGCCACGTGAGAGCATTTTCATGGTTAAAAATGATAATTAAAGAGGTCTAGAACAAAACATAATAGTAATTGTGGAATAACTCACTAATTAAAACACTATTTGTAGACCACCTCGTACATAATATATCAAATTATTTATATATTGCTTATTAGTATTTGTCGCAGGAGTTTTGCGGAAAAATTGGTCAAACGTCGGAAAATCAATGCATTTCACATTCAGACTACAACTCTTAAATACAGGAAGGATTAATTAGACGGTTAAACTTGAATCGCTACACAGTAATAATCAAACAGAATAAAATACTAATGCTGGATAACAATCTCTTACTTACTTACTTACGCCTGTTACTCCCAATGGAGCATAGGCCACCGACCAGCATTCTCCAACCCACTCTGTCCTGAGCCTTCTTTTCTAGTTCCATCCAATTCTTGTTCATTCTTCTCATGTCTATCTCCAATTCTCGGCGTAATGTGTTCTTTGGTCTTCCTCTTTTCCTTTGGCCTTGAGGATTCCATGTGAGAGCTTGTCGTGTGACGCAGTTGGGTGCTTTCCTCAACGTGTGTCCTATCCACTTCCAGCGCTTCTTCCTGATTTCTTCCTCCACTGGGATCTGGTTTGTTCTCTCCCACAGTACGTTGTTGCTAATAGTGTCCGGCCAACGGATCTGAAGTATTTTGCGTAGACAACTGTTAATAAACACCTGTATCTTCTGGATGCTGGCTTTCGTAGTTCTCCAGGTTTCTGCCCCATACAGTAGAACTGTCTTGACATTTGTATTGAAAATCCTGACCTTTGTGTTGGTTGACAGTTGCTTTGAGCTCCAGATGTTCTTCAGTTGTAAATATGCTGCTCTTGCTTTGCCGATCCGCGCCTTCACATCTACATCAGATCCACCCTGTTCATCAATGATGCTGCCCAAATATGTAAAGGTTTTTACATCTTCCGAATCTTCTCCGTCAATTTTGATTGGATTGGTGTCCCACACTGTACGAACATTCCATGTACCTAAATAAATGGTCGCTCTGGTTGTCAGAAGGGGCATCGGCCTCGTAACTTCCGAACGAATTCGGCTTTCATCATGAGGCGTCATAATTCTTCCAAATGAAGACCTTCTGACTCCCAGGGCAGAGTTTAAAAGGTTTGAATATTTTTTTCTGGTTAGCGTTTTTTTTAGCGAGTTAGTTTTCTACGGGATGGGGACGCTAACCCCATGCCCAACCCTCCTCCTTTATCCGGGCTTGGGACCGGCAGTAGCCCCCGGAGGGACTCCAGGCGGAGTTGGATAACAATCTCACCGAGTACGTAAATAGCTTTACTAACACAATTGTAATAACATATATAAGAAGAGAGTTAGCAATACAAATGATGGCTTGATCGATTAGTGCAGCTTGCTAATTGTTAAGTGAATTATTTATATAGTATTCCTTAAATGTATACTTGTGAGAGGCCTATGTCAATATGTAGTGAAAATAATATCACGTATAGACGTTCAGTATTAAAAAGTTATATAGATTGTCAGGAAAATAATTCTATTCACTGATCATTACCGATACCAGTTATATTTGTTCAATAAATATGTTGTTGGTATTATTGATCCATATCAGGCACTAATATATTTTAGCTTAGTTAAGTTTTAGGTGTTTTCTCTTTAATATGCTTCAAGACCTCAGCTATAAAACATTTCAAATTAATGAGTCCTTAATTGGGTAATGGTGATTTATTTATCATTCAACTGGTTTATTTCAAGTTTCAGACATGGTTTCAAATAATTCGGTTTGAACAACGGGAAAGTGTAACCATTCCTCCCACAAACGACATGTCTGAAATCCGAATGTATGCACACTTGCACTTAGAAAATAAATCATGTTCTACTTCTAAACTGGTAATCACTTGAAAATTTTTAGTTGAATTGAACGTGTTTCTTATACTAAATTTATTGAAGAAGCAATAACATTATTCATATTTAAACCGCCGATTTTCAAGCAGTAAAAATCGCTAGACATTTCAGCTTAATGAATTGCTTAACATTACTCCAAAAAGGTAATCTATAATCACACGACCTACATATAACGAACCAAAAAAAGTGAATTTGCTGCGGGCTGCTAACTTCTAACTCTATGAGTTATATTAAAAGGTTAGTTTATAATAACTAGGAAAAGAAAGAGTAAATAGATGATGTCGATCAGTTTAAACAAGCCTTTTAAATAGCACATATAATTCCAGGTGACTAGTATTCGATATTATCACGACAATGACAATTCTGTGTGTATATATATACCATAAAAATCTTGGAAAATCTACATATTACAAATGGTAAATCGAAAAGCAAATTAGCTATCTAAACAAATAAATCAATTATCTCTTTATACACAAAGATTATTGATAGAAGTTAGGAATTACCGAAATGTGATGTAAAACTTCATCAAAGTGTATCGAAAAATAGATCAATTGTTTTAAGCTTTTTAGTAATACATTTATCAAGTTGACATCTGTATGAATAAACTGAATTATACATTTTGTCAAGGTGTATAAATAAACTAATTATGATGCTCAAGTTAAAATAAATTAAGTTGAATAAAAACTTACAACTCAATTGAACACTTTTGGCAGCCTGCTTGAATATTTTGGCTACCTGTTCCTACCATCTAGATATTTCAAGTTATCTGATTTTTATTTGTTTTAAAACATTATTATGTCTATTAATCGTATAACCTATCCAAACGCGTTTATGAAATGTTTACGACCTTTAGCTGTACAAGCTTCGAAAAGCCCAATCAGAGATATTATGGTTGCTGGAAATATGCAGTGAAAAGGATGAACATTATTCAGATGTCGATTCCTGAATTGCTAATATCTAACTGGCGATCACTCAATATTTATCATCAGGACAGAGTAAGAAATAAGAAAAGGAAACTTTTTGAAATACTTTGTGCTAAGAATTCGATATTGTACCAAAAATATAATATTGAATAAAGTCATTAATAATAATAATAATGATAATAATAATAATCACTTAAACTACAGTACATTCATTAAGATTTTCGTTCAAAAAGAATGTCGAAAATAGTTTGTCGATGTTGACATGAAATGAGAACATATGCGCTGTATTAAAATTTAATTTAAAAATACTACCAATGAACTATATATATTTGAAAATATGTGGGCTATCCTTTAATTAACTCATATTATTACTGTTAAAGAGTATAAACAACAGAGGTTCACCGTCAGTAATAGTATAGTAATTCTATAACTCTAAAAATGATCATTGGACTGGTTCTGTTTACGTTTCAACCCTCCAAGTATTTCATTCTTTAAACTCAAACTGAAATGCAGTAATACCAGATTCTATTCTTCCTAAATTGTGCTTATCAGCCCAAAAAAATTCCCACAACCGTAAAATTGTATACACATTTACAATACTTGTTTAAAATTCATACTACTAAAAAACCATGTTAGTAGTGTGACTACCCAAATTACAGATAAGTTCACAATAGAATAACCTATAAGTTACATATGACAAAAGCAGAACAAGGTTAATGATATTTTACTAAGCTAGGGGAGTAAAAAATTTTTACATCAAAGTGGTTGTTTGTAAGTAGGCGTTATATTAAACAACATTTTAAGTTGGGAAGACAATACAACATTTTCAGGAGTATATCATTGAAATTTAACACTAGCAAAAAATATTAAATTACTAATTTCTAGGAATTAAATTTATTTACAATACGACAGATGGTAATATATATATATATATGTATATATATATATATATATATATCAACTTATTAAATATTAGCCATTCGACTGCGATTCCGCATTATCTAGATACTCATCAACAAGGTGTATCCACCACTCTTGCAAGAAAAGTTTACTCCATAACAGATTTTAACCACGATTTCAGAGATTTAGATGGTGGTTGGAGGTAGTCAACAGGAAACCCTGGACCCGGGTTTCATGCTACTTGGCACTCGTCAGAGAATGTATTGGGGTACACATGTAGAGCTCAAGTTGATCGGTTATAACGTAGAACCAAATTTTTGATTATTGTATATAAAACTATTCATCTTTTCAAAAAGTGAATAAATTAATTATTAGAACTTTACGACCTTATACAGGTTTGTTTAGCAAATATACATCAGAGACAGTAAAAGGATGAAATCTTTCTAATTGCAAAACTCAATACAGTCGTCAAGTACCACTTTTGGAAGGGGAGTATTTTCAAGTGTTTTCAACGAGATCACGACAATAAGTTCAATAAAGAGAAAAAAAGTACTCCGGGAAATTAAAAATAAAAACATGCAAAAATGTGTGTAATATTATTTCTGTCTAACAAGTATTGGCCTTAAATTATGAATACATCTGTGAAATTTAGGTACAGAGACATTGACCTGGAACTTCGCTCCAAACACCACTTAAAAACTATAAGTTAATAGTTTTCAAAATAAATTATTTCAATAAGATGTCTACTGTCCATAAAAGAGCTAGATGCCAGTAATTTAGGGAACAGGTGTATAAGAGACAAAGATTGCACTCCATCAACTTAAAATCAGGGGACCAGATGTTACCGATAGTTGACATTGCTTGCAGTCTCGTGGCATATCCAAGATGACATGTAATCAATCATTTACCAAGTATGGATCAATGTATCCGACTTTGAATCACTGTTTTCGAAAAGGAGGTTCAAACCTAAGAACTACTGATAAAAATCGAGAATCTTAACCATTAAGCCATCCCTACATTGTACGCTTAACAGAGTCTAATAAAATGTCATTGGTAAGTCTACAGTCAAGACATATTACAGTGTAAGGAAAAACGTATACTTCATACATAGCGAATTATCTGCAACAAAAAAAACAAGGATACGTAGTAGAGAATACATTAGTTTGAAGTACAAACACATCTAATTAAATCTGACACAATAACCTCGTAGGAGCAATCAATGTTGGTATTGGTTTGTTTAAGTTTTAAGAGTCGACATAATTCAAATGTCCACAGAAATAAAGTGACTAGAAGTATAAATATGGTCGAGTAATTAAAAAAACCATTACCTCTTCCAAATTTATTGGTTGAGATGACGTCCTTTTTATTTGTCGTCTAAACTGACTAATTATTCTAAGTAATGCAATCATTGTTTGTATTTGTTCATTTGTTAAACGACCATTATATTTAGAGACTAAGTGATAATTTAGTTGTTCTAAAAATTGATTGGATTTTGTTAGTTCTCCAGAGTCCGATTCTCGCTCACTAGCAACAGTGCTACCACGAACAATACCAATATCCCCACGTTCTTTGTTTAACTCTTTAATATTTACAGAATTGAAAGACGGTACATTACTAGATTGGGAAAGTGATGATGAATGAGAAATATGTTCTAAATTCGATGAAAGACACGTAGGTTTTATGGACGCACTGAAATCTGCTAATTTTCTCTGCAAATCCAAATCTAGTGAATGATGCTGATGTACAAGTAAATTTTCATCACCTAGCGTAAGAAAGCAAAGACAAAACAGATTAGAAGATAGGCGACGATGGGTGATAAATAAAGAAACAAAACAATAGAGTTGATTTTCACCATAGATTTTTAATAAGGAGGAGAACTATTGACAAGCGAAGGGAATCGAAGAGTTGTTTCATACTAATTTAATTTGAACGGTTTCCCCCAAACCTCCGGTTTTAATAATTATCATATCTGCGCTAGTAACCAACTAGGAGGCGAATTATAAACGTTTTAGTGATAAACCATGATCGGTGTAATTGAGTTATGTTTAAAGTTAGTAGGTTGTTAACAGTAACAGGTGATGTCAACTAATTTCAAAGCATGTGTTTAGTTCTAATATATGAGAAATAAACACTACTGAATGAGCTAGATTAAATTTCATTTTTCTTATGGTCGTTATACTCAAATTATCATTATTGATGCTTCACTATTGTCTTTATGAGCTGATGGTTTGAGACACAAGCCTTTGTTAAACCAGAATAGTACTTCCATCTGATAAATAATAAATATACTTCAAAATTCAGTAAAACAGACCTATACGTAGAATTCTATTAAACTATAACACTAGATTAACATACACAGAACAAAAGAAAAAGATATTATGACTTCATTAGTAATGTTGCAGGTAGACCTAAAGGTGAAGTCTTTTTATGTGAAAGATGATGGAGGGGAGAGTCAAAGAATTCCAAAAAAAACCACAGGGGGCCCTGAAGACGCTAGGAAACATTTTGTCTAGTCAGTGTTGAATAAAAGTATCTTAGATGCATTTAAAAAGTGAAGAGTCACATGTCACATTTCTGATTGGATGATTATCTATCATCCTACTGTGTTTAATATGGCCCCAGAATCTTCCAAAAGCCCAAGACCATCTGGAATATCACAAATACCCTCGGTTTTTTGTACATAAACTAACCTTGGAGTAAAGTGTTCTTTTCATACTATGCGTTTTCCCCCTCATGTTATCGTACAGATTTAGCCTGGGGTTATTAGAAAAGCTTAGGAAACCGATTCAAACGTTCAGTTAAGTTTATCAATCAGTGAATATCAAATTACTAATTAGAAATAATTAGAAAATGAATTTGCAATATTAACAAAACGTATGCCTTAAAGGCTGACAAACCATGAAGGGAAATTATGAACTAGGTGTCATAAAAACAAGGGATTTTTAGTGTCAGAAGAACATTAATTGTAATTATTCATCGAAATATGTGAAGTCAGTGACGAACACTGGTGACAGTCAGTAAGTCAGCTACAACGTAGGACCAGGCACATATATGCATCGGTCCAAGTTGCCATACCTCATTAACACAACAAGATGAACACCGGATTCATAAAAGTAGTTAATTCAGTTGTGGTAATATATAAAAGAAAGATTGCAATAAGGATATAGTACATGAATAAAGAATTAGTTCGTAGAAAGAAAGATATGAAGCGATTTTAATCTCTTAGTTTAAGGGAAGACAGAGAGTATATATACCGACGTCATTGTGATCGATTCTGAGCCATGTCACCAAGAGTCTCCAACCATTGGTTACGATAGTTACGCGGACCCCAACCAAGTAGTCTGCATCTCCCAACACGGCTCAGACTAGAAGTTAGTGACTTCAAGCACTGATGCCACGTTTTGGTTTGGCCGCCCCTAACTTTCTTCCAACTATCCCGAACATCGATTAGCATTGCACGTCGTGGTAATCGGTGTTCGGGCATACGTAACACGTGGCCCAACCATCTCATTCGATGAAGATTCACAACCTCATCAACTGATTTACCATCATTCCCTAATACCCTGCGTCTAACCTCACTATTACTTACCCGGTGATCCCAGCAGACGCCAGCAATATTTCTAAGGCATCTGTGGTCAAATACTAGTAGCTTACGAGTGTCTTCTACTCTTAATGGCCATGTTTCACAGCCGTAAATTAAAACAGAACGGACTGCCGCGCAGTATACCCGTCTTTTTATTGATAGACGGGTATCTCGCCTTCGCCACAGGTGACGTAAGTTGGCAAAAGCCAAGCGAGCTTTTCGAATCCGTGCTGAGATTTCGTCAGACACCAACCCATTACGGCTGATCAGACTTCCAAGATAAGTAAAGTTGTCAACGCGTTCGACTACTTCACTCCCTATCCTTAGTTCAGGTGTTGACGCAGACCAGTCCTGAAGTAACAACTTGCATTTAGAGGGAGAGAAACACTGGTCACAAGCTCTCATTCAATAGCTGTTAGGTGTTTCAAACGTTCTTCAGCTAACGTCAATTCTTGGTGGAATTCAATTAATTTCAAGTTTATAGTTTATATTGTAGAGATTCCATTGGTTGATAAGAAGTTTTTAGTGTTAAAATCCTTGAATTATGAGAGAAATTTGGGAAATTTTCAAGGTTTTGTAAAAACCCTATGAAAGCAGCTGGAATGCTAAGCGTGGTTGACCTTGTGTGATAGATGATAGACACAATTAACGACAATCACATCTTTGTAAATAAACTATCCAGCTGAAAGGATGCAATATCAACAAACACGTTCTATGTATTTCTGAATGAATTACTGTGGGTTTTTTACGTTTTTGTTGTTTGATAAAATTTAATTGTATTTTATGATTTTGTGGTGGTCGGTATTCAGTATAATTCTCTAACTTCGTACACTGCTCGTCCTGATAACCGCTACTAGATAACGCCCAACGGTGTATAAATCAGAAGACGAGTACGAAGCGTTGATTACGTTTATTATCGCACCGCACACAGATTACCCAAACCACAGGCACACGAAACAAGAAGGATATGCGAGTGCCGAAGAGCACACGAGAAAGTGAGTGAGTCACTGAGCAAGTCAATGAACAGGATTAAAAGTTTCAAATACATACATAGAAGATGAATGCGTCATCGAATCGTTTAAGCGACTAACACTAAAGCTGACAGAATGAATATTTGGGTAAGCGGTAAGCAATTGTCAAACATGTATGTTCATACAAGCGCAACACTAATAAAGGTACAATGGTATAGATAAGTTGTTGTTGTACGAATGACTGTCTGTTAAATAAGTTAATAAAAGGGCTTAACCAAATCAAATCTGAACAAACTCAAATGTATATGAGCCGCTATAATTTCCTATTACAGTACAATATAAATGTTGATGTTGAGACTGTTTAACACGATCAAAAACAAAAGTGGAATCGATGCGCTGATTTACACATACAATTAAACATAACGCTTAGGATAAAATATTGATAATTATCGTGTGACATAATGCCTTTATTTAATACCTTAACGCTTATAATTTAACTTCTATTTTCAGTCTCAATCGGTTCATGTGACTTGTTCAAAACTCTATAAATCCACTGTATTTTTGTTTATTTCATGCTTATTTAAGAAAATAGTGTTTAAGATAACTGGGATTAAAGTAAAAGATGTTCTTACATCAATGTAAAACTGCTGTATAATTGACATTTTACCTAAACTGATGATACGAATGAAAACCAAGATGTACCAAAACGTTATCAACTTCAATAGGCACTATACAAACCGAATTGACTAGATTAACTGCTAATTCAGTAAAACATTAACAATTTTATGATGTAGAGTTCAAAGATCCGACCAATAAATTTATGTATATTCGAAGAATAACAAACATAAATCTGATACTGGCCTTCCAAATGTTTCTTAAATCCTTATAAATATCCTACAAAGGGTCACGGACATAAGACAAAGGCTGGTAGTTCGAAAAGAAACTTACTTCCAAGATTAGCTCAGATACAGAAGTATTTTGTTTATTTCATTTACACAAGAATATTTCTAGGTTTACTCGTGGCTTTGGTATTCTTAGAGCATCTGCAGTCACGCTAAAATCAATAACAAAATTCTTAATTATCCAATTACGATATAATACATAGTTCATTGTTTTTCTAGAATGCACCGGAGAGTTTCTACTGAGAGCAGATCTAACGAGGTATTTTCAGACTTTTCCCAGCTTTTGAGGAATTTTTCGAGGGACTTTGGAAGTTCACTAACAGCAATCACGTCAGTTTGTACTTTAAAAAGCCTTTACGCTGACTTGGCCTAAAAATGGTGTGTGAACTTTTACAGAACCAGGTCGTGCATTGTTAGAATTACATATGGAATTTCGAAGGTTGGATTAATAATTTGGGTAACCAGCATCGAGTTATGAAAGGCCATCCGACAAAGTGTTGTGTTGGTGAAAAAAACATTAGACCTCAATACTCCAAAAGTTACTAGAAAGCAAGAGAATTTTATCAAGGAACATTCAAATATACTTTACTTGTATGGGAGTAAATCTGCCCGTTGTTGATGTTATGGACTGTAGTTGGTCAGTCTATTTTTGACATGTATGCATCCTGAGCAGAATGTTTCTCACATTGCTATTTATTCACAAGCGTTTTTAAACAATGTTTTATTAGAGATTAGTAGTGAAATCTAGGAAATGTGTTTTATCCCAAACAGGATTCCATACCTAGATACTATCCAAACTTTACTTAGAAAATTGAATGTTTTATATTGTAACCTGTATATATTAATCGGCAAGATGCTTCAACGTTTTTTTTATTTTTAGTATAAAACTAAACTATCCAGTTATAGTATTGGAAAACTGTCACATGGAACGTAGTAGAATTGTAACCAAAGTTGATGAAAGAAATAGTCTATAAACTGAGGAATTAATGAAAAATCACTAGATCTCAATAATATAACAGTGAAACATTATTTTCTAAAAATATATAGAAAATTTTTATAAAATTATACACATTTAAGCTCACATGTTTGTTATTGTTAAAAATGAGAATGATTTTTTTTTGTTGCGAAAACTAACAATCAATTGTGGGCTGCTTAAAATAAACTTTGAGTTTTATATTATAATCTTTATTTACACTCAACATATATGAAAAGTGAATTTGAATATGTCGTTCATGTATTTCATTACTAATTATGTACATATGATCCCCTCTATTATATAATAACATAGTGGAATGTACATTAGGAGAATGAATATAAAAGTAGATAGACAGGTCAATTATAAGAATGTTGCATAAAAATTGCATCAATTCAAATTACCATAGAAAAAGAGAATCCACATGAATGAAAAGATATTGAAATAAAACAAAGAGATGTATGATGATGATAGTAATAGTAATAATAGTAGAGAAAAAGTGATAAAAACGATAGTGACAATAGAGAATGATTTGTCTAATCCTATTGTTCATTAGTATTATAACTTTTCTATTTATACTAGTATAGGGGTTGTGGAGATTATTAAGTTTTTGATTGAGATCTTGAACCAATTGATGTTAGACCATCACAATTGAAAACCTGTGCTTCCAGGTTTTCAATTGTGATGGTCTAACATCAATTGGTTCAAGATCTCAATCAAAAACTTAATAATCTCCACAACCCCTATACTAGTAATCAACATGTGCTCACTAGTGACTAGCTTCGTGAGGGAATTCTCGGAGTTCTAGTGAGAAGCCGTGACCAGTGGAGCTAATCCTTGTCAGGTAGAGACAGTTATCTACTTAAGTACAATGGAAGTTGGTCGCGCAATTTCGTGGATTGGTTGGCTCAGTGGTCCAGTTGGTTAAGCGTTCGCGCGCGAGACCGAAGGCCCTGGGTTCGAATCCCGCTCGCGGGACCGTGGATGCGCACTGCTGAGGAGTCCCACAATAGGACGAAACGGCCGTCCAGTGCTCCCAGGTTTTCTATTTATGTTTTACAGAGGATGATCGTGAATTAATTCACTAGTTGGATACTTTTTTGGTCCTGTTATATAATTGGAAGTTAAAAGCAAAGAATAGGTATTGACTAAAACCAGTTATACTCTTAATACTGTTACTAACCGGAATCATAGTTATTTGAAAACATATCTTTTCGAAGAAGGGAGTCGTAGATGGTCATTTTTGAAACGTTATTACTGTATTTATTGTCTCTGGATACTTTATGTCGGCCTCAGATCACAGATGAGGGATTATTTTGAAGCAGAAATAATTGTACTGCCATTTTTTTAAAAAGTAATAGGCTACAGTGTTTGATATGAGCTTCTATTTTAAAAGTTGAAACCACATATTTAATCCTACTCCATGTTACACATTTCTAGAATAAATTTATTTTACTTTTCCTCTCAAAGATCTCATTAGTTAGATCTTTTGTATAGGCCTTCCATTTTTATACTTGCAGGTGTACCGTGAAAACGTTAGCTTCCTATGTATGTGTTTACAGTGATCGCTTATTTATTTTCATGTTTCTCGAGAACTGAGTTCCGTTATCAGGATATTTGAAGATTATATCGTTTGAACACATTACCAACTTATTGTTCACTTATGTAGAAATGACTTTAATGTATAATTATCCAGTCTTCGTAGAGGTTGCTAATTTCCGATCATTTATGTATATACTGAAAAAAGTTTGCATATTTTTCTTTTCTTAATTTAGGATCAATTTGTTTTAAGAGGGGATGCCCTCATAGATTTGACTAGTAAAACCAATACACTGATAAGGTTCCTATCTATGAACTTGGACTCTGTTTAGATTCCATGGGCCACATCTATGGCATCATGTAAATAACAACAATCTTTCCTTGATAATATCAAGCCTATTTATAACATCATAGATTTCATTGAGATCATTCTAATCTTGTTTCTTTACACTTGTATATCGGATACATCGCTCATGCGTAAAGTTTGGTGTTACCTATGAAAATGTCTAATAAATAAATACAGAAATATCTTTTATGACTCAAAGGCTTATACAGATCAATTAGATTTTACAATTTCAACACATTGTTTTCACCATCACTTTTATAAAAATCCAGATACCAATCGACATCAGCAAGTACCCACAACGAGTTTTAGGATATCCTACATTAACTGATTACCGCTCTGTTAAGGTATTTCCGTTTGTTAATTTTCGATAGCACTAACCGAACTAGAAGAACAAGAGATTTTACGTCTCAAGCAAATTAAATCCTTACATAGCAAGATATTAAAAGTTAATTAAAATATATTCCTATTTTGGAAGACCACTGCTCAGTTGACCACCAACAGGACAAAGGAAACTCCGTTAAGTAATTTTAATACAAGTGTGTACAGAGCCGTCTCTAATTTAGGTTAGGTAAGATTACTATATTAAAACAAAAATGTCCATTTAAGTAAGGTTTTTTAGAAGTTGAGAGTTTATTCATGTACAACGAAACTTTTTGTATTCGATTTTCATATTGTTTAGAGCAATAACGAAAACTTCTCAATTAAACCACTCAACTCAAAAAATGCAACATCATGACAAGTAGAAAACTGCGCTTGTCAGTGGTTTACATTAGGATAAATGATAATTAATAAATTTATTTAATGGTGTATTACAAGTTCAAAATGTATTCCACATATTTCAACTTTGGGAGCCAGGCAACAGTACAATTGGCTCCTATAAAAAAGGATGAATTACCTCGCACGTAGGTTAATAAATTTTATGATTACGTTACATATCAGAATAACAAGATGAGGAAGAATTTGTAAGTAACAAATTGACATACCTAAATCCCACTCACTGAAAGAAGGTGAATCTGCACTATGCCAGTGATCAACTATATGAGAGATTCCATGTTGACCTGTATCACTTCCTGAATGTTCTAAATTTTCATCGAAGTCTGATTCTGTAAAGGGATTTTGCGATGAACCAGGTAATTTGCCATCTGTTCTACAATGTCTGTTACTTAAAACACGACCACGACGACGATTAAGCAAGTAAGCTTTTAAGCGTTGTTTGACCTGGTATCAATACAACAAAACTTGGATGAAGCAAATGACTATTTGATAGAAATGTTGTTAAGAAATTACTCCAGTTAAGGGTTTAAATTTAATAGGTACTGGAATAGGCTTCAGAGTTTATGGGAAGGTATTCCATAATATGATAAATACGATTCGCAAATAATAATGATAGTAGATCATTAAAAAATTAGTGCCCCCATAATAATACTGTTAACATCTTTTGTCAGAGGTATAATTACGAACATTTCTTCTGGATGAATAACATCGACCTGAAATTTTGAACTGTTAATAGTTCAGCAGTGTAAATATTTGTCCTAACTCCCCATGAGCCTTTAAATCAGCATCTGTGCATGATTTTGAGAAACTTTTCAAAAGAGGATGATTGAATCGAGTTTATGAAGTTATTTGTAATTGAGTCCCATTTCATTCTAAGTTTATTTTTTCGCCATCCAAGCGGGATAGTGCTCATCAGTTTTTTTTGTGAGAGAGCAAGGACAAATAAACTGATAGAAATAAATTAATCTGGTGTAATATTTTAGATTATTTTTTGTTACGTTTTCAACAAGAGAATATAATGTTGTGTAGAAGGCTCTATTCAGACATCATGATAGCCTTTGAAGAAAATTATCATCGCCAGCATCTTCTTTGAATCCGAATTGCGTTGACGGAATTGTCCTCATGGCTAAATAAGCATGATCTGGAGTCATTTTACCTTGCAAATTTCGACCAACGAATATTGAAAAGTATTATTTCCCCAAGAAGATTCTTTGAAGATTACCTAATTCGATAATTGATATCATGAACTGATCTAAATTAGACCACCGTTAAAACTTGAAAGCAGCAGACAACCGTTTCGTTCTAGTATGAGACCCCTCATCAGTGTGTATCCATGACCCTGGACGAGGGAATTGAACCCGGAACTTTTGGTCTCGCGTGCGAACGTCTAACTTCTAGACCATTAAGTCAGACAGTCAGTAACAACGTAGAACTTCGTACGTACGTACATCAGTTCGAGTTGCCACACCACATTAGCACAGAGATGCGATGGTCGATTCAAATTCCGTAGTGGTAGAGGTAATAAGAGTATAAGCAGTAATCAGGAAAATTAGTGTTTGGAGATGTTATTTAAAGAGTATAATACAGTGAAATAAATTTGGGAAGAGAAAAAAAGAGACAAGGAGGAATAAGGAGATCAAAATTTGGGAGAACACAAAGAGTGTATGCACCTGCGCCATTGCAAACGATTTTGAGCCATGTCATTCAGGGTCTCTAACCATCGGTTGCTATCATCTCGCAGTCCCCAACCAGGTAGTCTACACCTACCAATATGACTCAGTCCACTTGTCAGTGACTTCATGGACTTATGCCATGTTTTGGTCTGACAGCCCCTAGCTTTCTTCCAATCTACTCCTATACCACTGAACATCGCACGTCAAGGCAGTCGGTCGTTGGGCATGCGTAACACGTGTCCCAGCCATCTCAACTGATGAAGTTTCACTACATCATCAATTGATTTGCCATCCTTACCTAGTACCCGTTTCCTAACACCTGCGTTACTTACTCGATAGTCCCAGGATATACGAGCAATATTTCGAAGACACGTATGATCAAATACTAATAACCTACGAATATCCTCCACTCTTACCGGCCATGTTTCACTGCCATAAAGTAGGACGGAACGAACTGCTGCGCAGTAAACCCGTCCTTTGGTTGATAGACGGATATCTCGCCTATGTCATAAATGACGCAAGTTGGTAAAAGCTAGTCGAGCCTTCTGTATCCGTGCTGAGATTTCGTCACACACCAGACCACAAGGGTTGATGAAACTTCCAAGATAAGTGAAGCAATCGACACGCTCAATTACTTCACTCCCTATCATTAGTTCGGGTGTCAATGCAACCCAATCCTGAAGCAATATTTTGCATTTTGAGGGGGAGAATCGCATCCTGAACATGCTTGCATTGTTGCTTAGAGTGGTCAGAAGACTCTGCATTTTGTCAGCGTCTTCACCAAATAAAACTATGTCATCTGCATATTCTAAGTCAACAAGTGAACCTCCCGGTAGAAGTTCAACCCCTGGAAATTTAGACGAGGAAAGTGTTATCTCTAAAAGTACGTCGACGACAAAGTTGAACAAGAATGGAGAGAGTGGGCAGCCCTGACGAACACCACTCGAGGTAATCAATTCTGATGACAGTTCCCCATAAGCTCTCACTCGACCAGTTGTGTTCGAGTAGAGAGCCTTTAATGAGGGTAATGTACTTCTTTGGTACTCCTTTCAGTAACAAACACTACCATAGAACCTTACGATCGACAGAGTCGAATGCTGCTTTAAGGTCGAGAAGTACTACGATTGTGGGGCGGCTGAATGTGTGTCTGTGTTCTAGAACCTGACGTAGTGTGAATATGTGGTCTATACAACCACGTCCAGGTCGAAAACCAGCCTGATTTTCTCTAGTCTGCTCTTCACGAGCTTTGATTAGGCGTCGAAGTATTATTGAAGCTAATATTTTAGGCACTATATTTGTCAAACTGATTCCTCTGTGATTGTCACAGGAGGACTTTTATCCTTTCTTATAGACTGGCACAATCAGTGATTGAGACCAGTCAGATGGGATTACGTCCAGTTCCCAAATTCTATCTAAGACCTTGGTTAATCTCATTGCTAATACTGGACCACCATCCTTAAAAATCTCAGGAGTAAACCTGTCAGGGCCTGCTGCTCTCCCTCGTTTCAGATTTTCTATGGCTTTTTCAACTTCGTAAAGGGACGGAGGACCTACATTAACTTGCCATTCAGGTTTACTGGAGATCGTGGGAAACCGAAGTGTGGCTGAAGGCCAGTTGAACTGATCCTTAAAGTGTTCTGCCCATCGATCCAATCTCCTGGATTGAGAATGTATAATATGTCCATCTTTCTCTGAGAGTGTTTTGCTAACAGTCGGTTTCCTAATACCGGTTTCCTTAACAAGTCTGAGCAATTGTCTGCTATTACCTATTGCCGCTGCCTTTTTCATCTTTCTTGCTTTCGCTACCCACCACTGTTCACGATCACTGCGTAGACTTCTTGTTAGCTTGCACTTAAGCTGACTCCGCTCCTCATTATGTTCAGAGCCAGGTGGAATGAGTTTCCGAGCATCTATCAGTGCGATAGATGCTGCTGAGATCCAGTGTTTCTCCCTAACCTTACGGTTTACCGTACTAGCAGATATAACTGCTTTTCGGATATCATTCCATGGTGCCTCGGGGTGGGCATCACATACATGGCTGCCCAATTGTTTTCCTAGTTGTTCCTGAAATATACTCTTAGCTTGACTATCATTAGGTAGGGCCCTAAGAGGTTTACTTCCAGCGTCTTTCCTACGTCCAGTAAGACGCAGACAGATACGCGCTCGTACGAGAGCATGATCTGAATTTAAGCATGTGCTACAGAATGAGCGACAGTCTTCTATCGAGCCCCTCCATCGGTAGCTGATATCGATGTGATCTATTTGGGTCCAACGTTGGGACGAATTGGGGGGTCGCCATGTTAAAAGATGTTTTTCCTTATGCTTAAAGTTAGTATTTGCAAGGAACAGGCGGTTATCTGAGCATAGCTGCAACAGACGGTCGCCATTATCTGTTCTTTGAGCCACGATGCTATAAGATCCACCCAGGTGTCTTTCCCTATCGCTTAGTTTACCTACTTGAGCATTAAAATCACCGGCCATTATTACTACATCCGAGCGCCTAGCTTTCCGGAGGTCGGAGAGCTTTCTGTAAAACTCATCTTTTACATCATCTGTGCTGCAGTCAGTGGGAGAATAGGCAGAGACGACGAAGAGGCAACGACGAGTGTCCCTATCTTTTCGGATCCTTACTGTTCCGTTCAGTCGGACAGCGCACAAACGACTGTCTACTGGGATCCACTCTAAGAGAGCTAGTTCTGCCCTAGGGCTCAATGCTATACCTACGCCGGCGAGGCCACGGGAAGCAGAATCAGGTCTTCCAGATACACAAAGTGTGAATCCAGTCGGTTCTTTATTTTGGCATGGTGAGGTCAAATGAATGACGCTACTCGGATCCTGTATGCGCGTTTCAGAGACGCAGCAGACATCGATGGCGCGGGATTCTATGGTCTTAGCTAAGGAAGCCTGCTGTCCTATTGGGCACAGTGTTCGGACGTTAAAAGCTCCTACGTGTAGTTCAGAGCGTGGTTTCGGGAGACCAGGAATAGCGTTCCGCGTACTCGAATTGTTTGCCCTGGCGGTGCGAGGTGATAAAGAGACGTGAGGAGGGTTAGTCATGGAGATAAGAGAGGTATTAGAAGGTGTAGGAAGGATTTGAATGTGACCAACTTGGTCTCGTGTGCTGTTATGGGTATGAGGGCTGATATCACTTCCCGGATGCCCACACCGTGGAAGGGTATTTCTTGAGGAACCTGAAAAGGAAATTGGATTAATGTTGGTCTTGACGATCTGGGAGCGTGACCGCAGAGCCCAAGGGACAACTGCTTGAAGCCGGTCGCGCACGGCCTTTTTGTGGAAGGTTTTTGACGTGTTAGCTCCGTTCTTCAAAGGGCCTTACCGCCGGAGACGGAAATCCGTGAGGTAAGGTGAGGTGTGACATTTTTAGGGTCGACCTTTTCTAACCCCACCCCTCCTTGTGGGAAGGCAGCATCGCTGCAGATGCTGGTTGTCTGAGGGAAACACCTTACTGTTGTCACACCTCTCTACAGTCAGCAGTACGACTTCGCCCTCAGACCATTAAATCGACATCCAACGGTGAATTCGATCAACAGGCAGCTGTAGTTTATGGTACAAAGTTATTCAAATCCTACTACTAATTAAGCTGGGAAAACTTTCAGACGGTAGACCGACTTTTATATACACGTATCTTCCTCATAGAAAGTACAGCTGAATAAAATTAGAATACAATAACTGTGATAAGATGACCAGTAGAGTAAGACCTAAATGCGCATGAGTTTCTTGGTTCGATAAGGTTTGCATTGGTAAGATGGAAATTTTTTCTTTAAGGATATCAAGATCAAGTTTGGTAATTCTTTATTGTATACTTATACGCGATTACACATACAGATAATGAAACCATGGAGATATTGTAAATATACGAAACAATTAACCAATTATGCATTATGAATGACATTATATCCTCATCGTCGCATATTTTTCATATTTAAAATGCTGATTAGTTTGCAATATCGTTATTAAAACGATAAAACTTCAATCTTCTACATGTAGTAGGCGCTGATGATATTACCCAGAACAGCAAAGAAAGATCCCCAATGAAATCATCTGGCTCAGAGAATAAAACACCACTAAAAACTTTAATCTGTTTTATTAAGGTGACAATTTCGAGCAACTGTATGCCTCAGCTATCAAGCTATGACGAAAACCGCTAAAACAACTAATGGTACTACATATCAAATTATTCTGTATACATGGAAAATGTTACAACCACTTTTAATAGGAAGATATCGTCATTAAATTACTGCTTTCATTACATCACAGATAGTTTTAAAATTTTAACCCTTGTTAGCTGAGAAATACCTTTCTATTTTGTTATTCTTTCGAATACATAAGCCAATAAATTTGGGATCAAGGAAAAACACGATATACTTTCATAAAAACCTGATTTTTGTTCAGGCGTAGTGAAAACCATGATTTAATCGTTGGTTATTTTGAGACAGCAGATGGACGGCTTTAGCACATTCTAGATAAAGGCTTCTAGTGGCTCCGTATCGAAAAATGAAGCTGAGACTGGGACAGAGAAGTCAGTTACGTAACACTGAGGGATGAAGGATAGTTGTATGAAGTTAGTATTTCTTGGTTCATCGTAACTGCAGTTTCAGATTTGATTAAACATATTTCGACGTCAAAGTCAGTGATCACCGATCATCCGGATATATAAGATTTTAGCCGTGTTGTTAAATCGCCCAGGATCGCGAACGGCAGACATTAGTGGAAGGTAAATATAAACAAAGATGATAGAACAGTGTTAAATGTGTAGATGATCACTATTTAAAGGAATAGACATCTATAAATCTGAGCACTGCTATTTGTCTTTAGTGGTAGTCATCTAACTTATCAGCAATTTCGCAACGTTTAAAATTCATAATAAGTACTGAACTTAACTGTCACTTCACAGTTAACATTAAATAAATATCCGTCAGTTTTACTTATGTACAACCGCTTAGCCTTCAAAGATAAGTGATCCCATTTATCATGAAACGGCAGGTTAGTTAGCACTAAGCCATAGAAACATACTAGTAGCAATTTTAACAACTAGTTTTAGTTTTAAACTACTACTTATTATAAGCAAAGAACATGTCTATAAGTGATAAATATGCACTATCATTTCGCACATTGTGCGTTGCACTGTCAAGTCACAAAGACTTTATGAAATCTATAATGCAATCATTTACTTAGATGATGCATTGTTATTTTTATCAGAACTATTAGAACGCAGTCCTGATAAAAATTATCTTCTTGTTGAATTACCAAAATTTGTCAAAAAGAGTTTTAAATCATATTTATGACTGCAACCATTGATCTCAGTAAAGTTTAAAACATTGTAGCTAAACTTGAGGGCTAATGATCTTACATTTTAAAATATTATTGCGAACTAAACAGCTAGAATACTAACCTGCGTTGAAGAAAGGCGACCTTCTCCTCCTTGATCAAAGGATACTTGACGTGACAGAAATGAGGAGCGAGAAGGGTTTGATGATATGCTTGCTGAATACTCTGGAGATGTTGGTAGTAGTTGGTGGTAAGAAGTACGTAGAGGCAAACCATCTCCCGATCTGGTGGTTGTATATGTTTCGGTCGATGCACCTTTCGTAAATGGTGGATGAGTAATACGATGTCCTGTGCTGCTGGCTAGTTCAACAAGAGAAGAAGTAGACTTCAGAGATCCAACCGTTCTATTGGGTCCTCTTTGATCCATTCACACATAAGAATGGTTGAATATCCTTAACAGATGGTTAAGTCTGGTAAATGGGTGAAGTTGCTGAAAAAGAAAAGTATGTAAACTAAGGTGTATCTTAAGAAAGTTAAGCACACCATCGTCTCAAAACCATCCAGAAAAATAAAATGAATGATATTATAGTGTGTATGCCAAACATTAAAATTAGAACCAAGGATATTTAAGAGTAAAAGTAACGAATGTTGTATAATGTTGCCCCATGTAGTTCCTTCAACAGGTAACAGAACAAATAAATTTGGACTGTACAGATTAGTGCTGAAACAATGATATAGATACTGATTAGTAAATGAAGGTCTCCTATAGTAAGATCCTACTAGAAATATTTCTTTGTTAGGAACCTAATCTAAAGATTAAATTAAAGGAAAACATATGTATGTATATTCAGGGGAAATTTGAAGAGGTTATGATATAGTGATGACCTCAGGTAATGACAAGAATTCAGGCTGTTTTTTAACCAATATCTGAACAGGTCATCGAAATAAAGTATGTTGACAAAAACAGAATGAAGTAGCAATATATGTGGTCTACAAGTTTTCGCAAGGTTCATAATCACTTTGATTTGTCCTAAAACAGGCTACTTTGGCGACAAAAGGTCACTCATTCAAGAGACCAGTTATTATTCATGTCTTTTATTAAACCAAAAATACACTTATTAACGACTCCGCAGTTTCTACAATACTTGTGTTAAGACTTGCTGACACTAAAAAGATGGTGTCAGTAGATCACTGTCCGAGAACCACAAATATAAAGATCTCAGTACTACCAAGGAGTCGTCTTAAACAGGAGTGTGGCGCATATATATATGGTGTCCCCTTGTACCAATATTAATGTGTTCAAATAAATATACTTAAACAGGGGTATGTTACTCAATGAATTAGTAATAACATCAACTGATTGAAAGCAAACGAATTATCAATAAATTATTCTAGGTAGAATATATATCAGAAAACATAAATTTATACCACATTATTCCTACTGGAAGGTAGAATGACAGACCTTTTCTTACTATTCATCTCTTAAGAAACAAAAATATCTTCTACAAAGCTTATCACGAAATAAATGCTAACTGGTGTTGCTTTTGGAATTATGGAATGCTTTTACCTTTAAAAAATGTTATAACTTAATCCATTAATAATTTTTCAAACAACTGACTTATACATTCAGAGAAGTAGGGAAATAAGGTTGGTTACAAATAATGAAGGATCCATTAAGTGAACAGTAAGCTATGTTAAAGATGCGGATACAGATAACAGAAATCTAAGGTAGACTAACCACCACACCAAGTCTACAACTAAGCGTATGAAGCTGAAGCACGTATGTCGTAATATACACATAGGACAACATACATTTTGGCTTAATTTTCACTAAGAGGTATCAAATTGGTATGTACGGAATCCAATCGATCAATGACAATTTAGTCGTGAAGTACTGGAAATTGCAACTCTAAAGGAGAAGAGATATGGAACTCAGTGACCATGTTATTCCTATTAGGAAGATATGAAGAGTAAAGTTAAACAAGGGTGAGCTAGTAATGAAAGTGTGAATTGTTCTAAGGTCATGGCACAGTAACACAGAATGTTGTTTACCAAACATAAAATGGATGACCACTAAGAAAAACATCTGAACGTATTTAAAACCAATTGATAGTTAAGAAAAACCATAGTTTGTGACTACAGTGCTGAAATGGGTATCTATGAAAACAGTGGCAATTCAAATGAAACGATATTTTGTTGTAATGATCGCTGGTCTAAGGAACCCCATTTTTGTCCATTCCATTTTAACACTCGGGTTATTAATGTTCCTAAAGTCCAACCTTACCAACCAAACTACGACAAAGTATAAGGTTTAGCCGCATCACGCGACTAATAAGAACCTACCAATTGAATGCACTAGGTGTAGGATCAAGCGCTTTCAATAGACAGAAGATAGAATGGAACTATAAACTTTTAAACGATCGATTACAGTCGACTGTATGGAGTATAGAGACGTATTTTTATACAACGATTACCATCAAAAAGTACGCGTAGGTAGATTGATCAAAGAACTCAAGCTAATGTCCGTTTAACTTATTAGATTTTAAAACAAACCTTCAAATTCAAGTAACAAAATAAGAGGTGGTCTGATGATTAGAAAAACTATAACAGATGCTTAGGTTTGAAGTGACACTTCTCAGTGAGCTAAATGGTCTTCAAATGTTTTTTTAATGAACTAACAAGTACAACATGAGAAACGGAATAAGTGATCTAGACAACACGCTTTCTTAACTCCTGCAGTTACGTTGAAAACAAAATATGCTCACAGTTAAAACTATCTGGCATCTATAATGAGTTACATACTGTTATATGAGGATGTGAAATTCAACACGGTATGCGAGTGAGGAATGAGTTCATGATAAACCAGTTCGTGATGAAAACTGTAAATGTGATTCCCGAAAATAACCGTCAACTACAAATAAAAATTCATACTATTCACACAAGTTTATAACTCACTTAGCTTTAGCAACTAGGTAGACATTCTCAGGGCCACTTTAACGTCGCTTAAAGGTCATCTATAATTTATAGTCTCAGCCCTCGAGATCACGTTTAGTCCGTGTTTTTCAGATATAGTATTCACCGTTTAAAAAACAACTAACCCCCAAATTAAGCTTCGGAACAATAAGTCGAGTTCCAAGTTTAAAATTACCTACTGTTCTTAAGGTAACAATGAAGAGGAGCCCGACCTTTCAATATCTGGATCCTGAAAACTTCGGAGGTGGCGCTGGACATAAGGTCACAATCTCCAGCCTCACTTGTGCGGATAAACAAACTTGATCTAACAACCAATATCTCCTTGAAAAGCCGGTACTGCTGTACTTGATTTAAACATATTGGCATTTTGGATCCTTTTAACGTTCCAGCACATTTTCTGGCTAACAACTTCTAAAATTACTTACGTCATCAATATAAGGTGAAATTTCGGAAGATGCTGGAAATGTTACTTGCGCAAGGTTACAACAGCCACATTCTTGGTACTGAAACTCATCGGATAGGATATCTCGATAAAATGAACAACACAGAACAGCTGATTATCTAAATTATAATTGAAGAAGCGAACCCGCGTCTCTCAGTATGCCAGAACAAACCATGTCCTAGTAAGATGTGCTGTCCCTTAGAAGCTGCAATAAGTGGTTCATCAGTCTATTACTCAGCTTTATTCCCATGAATTTTGTTGTCCTGAAGTACGCGCGCTTTAAGAATGGGGAATACTATCCGAACGAGATTTGCATTTCACAAACTTTAGTTTGGTCTTGCGCAACGAAAGTACCATTTTTATCCAAAGAATATGTTCCGATCCGGACGCTCATCAGATGCTTTTATTTTGCCTGATCTAACTATTCGGGTTTTACGGTTTTTCATGTCAAGAGGCTAGCTATAGTATATCCTAGGTTTCTGTACTACGCGTTTTTATCCGTTTTATCCATTTTGAATATATCTGTTTTTCTCCGCGCCCATAAACGTATGCCGGAATTTGTCTAACAACTTATATTTCACTAATGTTACTAAAGATGCTGTGTGCTCTGTTTTTCGGTTTTTAGTGTCAGCCACGAAATCGGTTTGAGCACTCAAATTCGAACTTTATGAAGGGCATCTCAAGTCACTGAACCTTTACCTATTAGGGTATTGGTGACCCAGATGTAACCTTCCAATGATTCAAAGCACTCTCAAATACTTACTTAAGCTCAGTCTAACAATGTAAAATGGAATATTCAACATCACTGTGTTGGAAAAACCTTTATTCTGGAAATTATTTACGAAATTCTCACCTGTTAAGATGCCTACAATGTTGCTTACTAAGTAGAGAAGCCAACAATAAATTGAATCTGAAAACAGTAAGGCGTGTAGATTATATCATCATATCATTTCACTCCTGTGAAATGTTTATATATGGAACTACGTTACATGTACTGAATTACACGAGAAAATGCATCATACATATATCATAAGTTTGATGTTTTTCTTCTGCTTCCTGTACGGTGGCAATCACTAACAGATTCGAAATTTACAAGTGATAAAGTTTGAGGACTTTAAGGTACCCACAGTGTTAATCCTAGTCATATTAGACTAATATTCACACCCTGTTAGAAAGTGAAATCGAAGTTTAGAAGTTCGTTAGTACTCTCTATTGCCTAATACGGGGAACAAATGACAAGCGGTTTTGTCTACTGTAAACTTGAAAACAATTCATCGATTTGTAGTGAAAGACAATGAATTAAGTGTACACATCATGTGAGGAAGTAAACAATTACGAACTTATGTTGAAATTCATTTGACCTAAAAATATTTTGTGCCGATTTTTTCTCCGGTTTTTTTACTATTGTCGTGCGCTCTATTAGCCTCTCTCCAGAAATGACTTACCTAGGCATAATGGTTTGAGTGATTTAGGAAGAGCTGCAGATCACAGAGTCCAGCTGCAGAAATTGGTTAGATGCTCAGGATTTATATATATATATATATATATATATATATATATATATATATATATATATATAATATCTGTTCAGCTTTCATTGCTTCAAAGTTGCTGGGCATCACTACATGGACTTTCGTCACTTATCGATACAGGTCGAGAGTACTGCGATTTTTATTAAAAATATGTATTTATTGACAGTTCGCAGGTGTTGGTGATACTACTTTGAGATTCGGTTCGTCCAATATTTATTTGAATTTTGTTACCCATGGTTGCCATTTAACAGATCATTCCTCAGAGGATTCAATCAATGTTCGTTGACTTGGAGTTGAAAACCAAGGAGAATATACATAAAAGTCAATGGAATTCAGACAATCCCAATCAGGGTTTAGCTGGAATCCATTGAATCACCACAGACGATAATTGCAATAAAAGAATTCGTCTTTACCAAATCTGTAAATTTAAGTGCATGTGCTATTTCTTACCAGATAAGGTAAGTCATTCGTTCGCTATTGTGTACGCTCACCGTAAACTTACAATGGAATGTTAAGCAGAATAAATCCTGGTGTTTTATGCCACTATTATGAGAGGCTTATTTTATTACTCCGTGGCCTGACCTAGTCGGATGAATCACAACAAAGTATTTTATTTCCTGTGTAAGTTAGCGCTGCAATTTATGCCTAGCATAATTCCTAATGCTTTAAACCATGTTTTGATGCATATGTCAGGTTAACTGCAACGTCATTACTAATAATCAGGGAGTTGGAAAATTAATTGTTGGTAACTTTCTAAAGACGTTGTCTACCAGCTTAGCAGATGGATGCATTCTGTTTTAATGTCACAAGTCTACTAAATGGCAGGATGTTGTTCTATCCAATGGCCCATCATGTGTTGAAAACGTCAATCAGAGCACTGACTTGTTTGACCATGCTCCTGTGACAAATCAATGATGAGTTAACCAGCACGAGCAGCATTGAGTCATCCCTCAATTCTTATTGGTCCTGTGTGTAGAAGCTTCTTGCCTAACCCTGCTTATTTAGTCCAGAACATAAGTATCGTATATTTCAGACACATGTGATTTATATACAAACAGAACAGACCGCATCATACCATAAAATGAAAAATAATAATTTTACATGATCAAGCCTAAACGTGGGTCTGAGTATGAGACACCGTAATTAATAAATTGAGGACGAGTTAGGAATGGTAGATCATATAACACAAGCCAATGGGTCAACTAAAATGCTTATGACAAAAGGAATACGAATACGTATATAATCTAATCACATAATAATTATTCGGAAGGTACATGTGTAACAATAGTCCATAAATAATTCCTAGCAGTTTTAGCAACCAGTAATCTGGCTTCAGCCAGATCTTATGATCGTTATCGAATAACTGCTGTAGAAATATGCATACCGCCAGTCCTCGAATATAATCATCCACTTAACTCGCGTTAGTACATAACGGAATTAAATGTGTCAAATATGAGAATGATCTTTTGAAAGAGCGTATTTCGTAAACTCATTGATCTAGACAGATAATCAGAGGAACAAAGCAAAAAGAAGGGAGCGAAGCAAAATGATGCGCAGTGGAGAAGACGTGTAAGTCAACTCGATATCATCAAGCGTAAGTCGGTATTTATGGTCATCACAAACTAGATTCAAACGTGTGTTCAATAGTGTTATGGCTTTGTATGTCTGGTTTTTCTATCGCACGACTTATCTACCAATCCGAATACGACTTATACGAATCTTCACACTAGGCCAACCAATGACGTTCGACCGGTGTGGGCAGTTTGGCGTCCTTATTGGTCCTATGTCCTACAAGCCCTTCCACTTGAGTCCAGAACAAGATACCAGCTTCCGAATCAGAGCAGATCGTTTATTTCAGGCATACTTGGTTTATATATCAATCACACAGACCGCAACGTACCATAAAATAGGAAATAATATTTGTACACAAATATACCCAAAAAGTGGCTGTGAATGTGGGAGGCAGTAGTTAATAAACTGAACATAACTTAAGAACCGTAAATCGTACAATAATAAATTATAGGCCAAAATAAAGCTTGTCATAAGAGGGATATAAATATACATAATGTAATTGTTGAATAGTTATACAATAAGAATATTTATAGAATATTAGTCCATGAATAGTCCTCGGAAGTTACCTGTAATTTAATCTCCACTCGGATATAACAAATAGGAGACGAATTGTACATACATATGCCTACGTAAAATCAATCAAGGTCGATAGGGGAATAATTAACAGGGTGAATGAAGAAGAATGAATAGATTGGCTTCTCCGAAAGCTAGAATAAGCTGTGTGGACTTGCATAGTACTACAATCATCATTCATCTATTCGTCATTCGGATATAGCGAACGTTATCTTCGGTTAACAGATCTTGCATCTTCGTTGTAATAACAGTGAAATCATTCAACGTTACATGTTAAGTAAGGGATGGTTTAAACAGTTTTGTTGTGGCGCATATATGGATATAACACTATATTTATCGAGCTCGACCAGATTGATATTCTGTCCATTGACTTTATCATGATTAATTTTAAAGAGTAACATATAAGGATACTGATTTTAAGTCATTTTCTGTGTAGATGCACCATTTCGTGTACACATCCTGTGTGGGAAAATCTTTTATTCCGCTTTCAAACATAACGTCGATGAGGTAACTTCCCTTTGCAAAGTTCTGTATGTGTGCGGTTTTAGACATTTCCAGCTGCCTTACTGAGGGGTTGAATTCTCGATTATTGCCGTTTTATCAAATTTATTTGATTCATTGACAAGCGACAGAAACTTCGTGTTTCAATACAAAACAAACACTCAATTTTGTAGGTTCCCGGAGCAGAAACTCCCAATTACCAAACCAAAGACAAAAGAAACCAAAATGTCCGAAAATAGTGATATAAACAAAGACGTTCGGAAGTTGAGTAAAACAAATATGTCCAAAAAGCACGGTAAAATTATGAATATACAATATAAATGTTTTAATCAGACGAATGTCCTCAGTTCTCACATAACGATTCACAGATTATGCTAGTTTCAACCCATAAATTTATGATGTCTGGATGCAACAATTATTTCCTTGTACGTCATTCCCGACTAATAAAATTCTAAATATATTACCTAAGACAGCTCTCACAGAGTCCTCTCCGACTCAAATACTGGTCGGTACATAGCCGCTAGAGTACAAACTGCACATTCCTGTGTATTACCAGACAGCAGAAGAAAATAATTTACTTCTGATTACCATAGTAATCTTACAGTACTATCGTTG